CTAATCTAGCACAAATATCCTTCATCCCACGACGCCACGTCATGGACTGACCATCCCTCCGCCTTTTCCATCCCGTCCCAGGGATAGCGAACAGAGACCTGTACGGTAACCTCTGGGATGACATTCGCAGCACATGTCCAAGCCACCGGAGCCGGTGTTTCCAGATTACGACACTCAATGAATGGTGATCTCCACTGTGTTCAAACACACGCCACCGAACCTCAGAATTACTCACGCGATGATGCCATCGAACGCAAGCAATCCTGCGGAGACAGCGATGATCGAACACGCAGAGTCGCCTCACATCCTCAGCTCGGAGAGGCCAGGTTTCACAGGCGTAGAGCAGCGCAGCCCGCACCGAAGCATTGTATACCCTACCTTTGACAGCCAGGATAACGTCGTGACTGCGCCAGAGGTGGCTCAAGTTGATGTATGCCACCCTAGCCTTCATTATACGGTTGGAAATCTCATCCGTCACCCCTCCGCCAGCACTCACACAACTACCCAGATACACAAACTTATCAACAACTTCAAGCGGTTCACCCGCAAGAGTGAGTGCAGGTACAGGCTCCTGCCAATCTTGTAACGGTACTTTGCACTTAGACGGTGCAAAGCACATACCATACTTACAGACACTGACACACATAGATAATTCAGTTAATATTCGGCTCATCTTGAAACCTGACAGTTCAAGCTTCAAGTGAACATTGGATGGTTGAGATAAACCATAGAAGATAATCCAACTCGGATAAAGTATAAGTTTACCATTTTTTTTACTTTCAATGATCTATGAGCTGATTACAGTTTTAGAGAAAATCCACCATGAAACCAATCAAATCCACATCAATGCAACGCGAATGAATATGATTATTTTCCCCATACAAAAAACAGCTTAATAACCAACCTAGTGCATATATTTGCATATACTCAAGAAGGAATATAAGATTAAAGTTAAGAGTTTTGGGAACTAAGTGATTCATTCTTTTACTTTATCAATTGTTTTGTAGAATAACCAGTTGATTGATTTCTCTAATCAATACAAATGATTTCTGTAGGCATTGAATCCTTCACATTAGAATCCATAGATATTAGAGAATCAAGTTGAAAAACAAAACAAAACATATTCTCTCTCAAAGGAACTAAGTTTCTTTGTTTGTTTTTTCACACAACATCTAATCGGATGTTTACAATCGATAAGAGAAATGAAGTAAACTGTTAAAAGAACAAACTATTGTCCATAATTAGCTGAGAGAAATATGCCCCTGTATGCAATAGAATAACCATTAGTTTGAAAAAAGAAAACGTGTTTTGTCAAGATAAACGAGATACAATGGAATTTCTTTAGGCCAAGAAAATAATAATTTTAGAAAGTTTTCATAAGAATTAGCTTTATGAAGAAGGTAGTCCATTCTCCGTTGAACAATAAATATATGACGTTCTATTTTAGATAACTTAACTAACGCCACATTAGTCAACCATAAACTTTTGATTTCAGTTGCCTTTTTATGTCTTGCAAACAAAAACGGTAAAGAAAATCTGAGGTTTAAGTAGAAACAGTAAGCATTACATTAACACTTCTCCTCTGTGATTAGTTGTGTTCTCTGAGCTGATTGGTTTAATTGCGGAGCTTTCGTCATCCTTCTGGACAACATCTTCAGTGCAAGTTTTAGCATAAAAATGAACTGATTTAAATTCTCCATGAATGATAGAATTGCGTCTCCTGGTAACCATCTTTGTGACTGGTAGTCGATTTACATCTGTGTTGACCATTTTTTATTGACTTGGAATTTGAACTTTCTTGTCACATGATTTACTTTTTATTAGTTGGCAGATTTGGTCTATATTAATACGTTTGCTAATTGCTGATTCGCTTGAGTACTAGGCTTCTAGGAATTCTCTGGCTCTTTTGGTGTTTCCTCTGTTTAAAACTTCGACATTATCCCAATCAAATTGATATCTATAATTATCTACATGCATTGATATGAAAGAATATATATCATGACCTTTTACAGCTACCAGTCACGAAGATGGTTGCCAGGAGACACAATTCTTTCATTCATGAAAAAATTAAATCAGTTCATTTTATGCTAAAACTTGCGCTGAAGATGTTATCCAGAAGGACGACGACAGCTCCGCAATCAAACCAATCAGCTCAAGGAACAAAACTAATTGCAAACCATCCGCCTGAGCTACATATCTTCTCTATTACTTTTCCTCTGCGCAGATGCTTTCTACATGGGTTTTGTGCCTATTCGTGTGAGTCACTGACTTATTCCTATTGTGCAATCACAAAGTTATAAGTGTCAGATAGACAATCTGATTCAACTAGGCATACATTCATCAAAGCAGTTACTAGATAAAACATTAAAAATGTGTTTTTCTATTCTATGATCTTTAGCGCCATTGACTAATTGTGACGTAAACAAATGATGACGAATGAAGTCATATTATGCAAGCATAAACACATGTATAACATTATACATATGAAACTCTTATGAGAAGATCGGATCAATGAACACCCCCCCCCCAAAATCACAGATGTCGGTTAAAATTCCATCTATACTTGAAGCTATCTGTATTACAGTTAAGTCTGGGAGAGGAACTAACTGAATGAAAAATATTGTTCGACTACATGTCTTGTACTTTACTGCTCCCCATCCTTAGTCTTTCCTGGTCTACTGAAAAAATGACTATTTCACTTTGAGAAGGGTATTTAAAGGTTGTTAGCAGGGCGAGTGGTGTGCAACTTAGTCAGCTTGTCACTACATTAGTTGATAGACGTCTAAACGCATGCGAGAGAAATGGTCTAAATCTATACTGTCTGACCCTCAACACCCCCTGTATTCTCAGCTATCCCCTTGTATCTCATCTGGTAGAACCAGAAGTCAGTACAGAAGATTATATGCTCGTACTACCAAGTATAGGAACTGAACGATACCATACTTGGCACGTGTTCTATGTGATAGAGACAATGTTAAGCGTGAAGCTTATGAATTACTATTTTGTTAGCTGAATAATTGACCATTTTCGCGGTCTCCTATTTATAATCTACGGTGACACTACCTCAATTAACTGACAATCTTAGCTACTAACCTTAATATTATTATTTACAATTTATATATATATATATATATATATATATATAACTTGATTGTCACTACAAATACCGTATAAGAACCGTCATTAGCAATGCTGTAAAATCATGTTTATAACTGTTTCAATATTATTCGATAAAATAAGATGCAATAATGTACCAAATGATGAAAATTCCATACTGTAAAATTAGTATTGTTTTGGAATAAAGCACATTATTATTATTATTAATCTCTGTATATATAAATCAACTAAGCTCATTGGTCGCATCATCCTGGAGAGAATAAAGGACGCACTGGATACAGAACTCCGACCAGAACAAGCTGGATTCAGGAAAGGCAAATCATGTTCTGACCAAATTGCAACTCTACGCATCATCATCGAACAAAGCATGGAATGGCAATCAAACCTCTGCCTCAACTTCATAGACTTTGAGAAGGCCTCCGACAGCGTTGATCGCGAAGTAATTTGGAAACTACTCGAGTACCACGGCGTACCCCAAATATTCATCAACCTTATTCAACAGCTGTACGACAACGGCACATGTCAAGTGATCCACAACGGAAAACACAGCGAAGCGTTTGGAGTAAACACAGGAGTCAGACAAGGGTGCTTATTATCACCAATGATATTCCTAATTGTGGTGAACTGGATTATGCGTCAGACAGTGGGAAACGAGAAGACAGGGATATCCTGGACCGACGTGAAGAACCTAGAAGACCTGGATTTCGCAGATGATTTATGTTTGATGTCACACAAAATCGAAGACTTACAAGCAAAAACCGACAAACTGGTCGAAGAAGCAGCTGGTGAAGACAGGACTCCAGGTGAACATAGAAAAGACAAAGGTTATGAAAATAACCAACCTACAACAACAACAGCATCAACATCCAGCGCCAATCACCATCGACGGGAGGGATTTGAAAGAGGTTACTTCATTCACTTATCTAGGGAGCATTGTCTCAACTACAGGCAGGTGGAACGGACGAGGATGTCAAATCGAGAATCGGGAAGGCGAGAAACACATTCATCAACCTGAAACCAATCTGGAAATCTTCGTCACTCAACTCAGCATCAACAACAAAATTCGGATTTTCAATACAAACGTCAAGTCAATTTTGCTATACGCATCAGAAACTTGGCGGGTCACCAAGAGTATTTTCAACAGGTTGCAGACCTTTATCAACAACTGTCTTCGTTCTATACTGAAGATTAGATGGCCGGAAAGAATCACAAACAAGAAGCTATGGGAACAAACAAAACAGGAACCAATCGCCCAACAAATATGCAGGAGAAAGTGGAGATGGATTGGACACTCGCTGAGTAGGCCACTGGGTGACATCGCGCGTCAGGCCAGTGCTCGAGTGGAACCCGAAAGGGAAGCGGCGAGTGGGACGTCCAAGGGTGACATGGAGGAGATCGTGTGAAGAAGAGTTGAAACAGTATGGAATGACATGGATGCAGGTGAAAAGAACAGCAGAAGACAGAAGCAAGTGGAGGCGTGCAGTTGAAGCCCTATGTTCCACTAGGAACCCAAGGGAACAATAATAATATGATAATAAGCTCATTGGTTACGAATCAGTACGGTCGTCCTGTAGTCGAATTGCAATCACTAGAGAATATATAGCTCGGAATTTAGCCACTGGGTCATGGGTTGGAATACCGCTCTACCTACTCTAAGTACGTGGTAGATGAATAATATCACTGGCTCTCTCCCATACAGTAAGTATAGCTCCAGCCTTGTTATACGAGAAATGTGTTTTGAGTAAATGACCTCTAATATATTCTAATTTGCTGACAGTATACAGTTGGCCAATTCTGTGGGTAAGTATCACATGAAGAGAGTACAACAACACTACAAGTAATAAAATATTCACAATGGACAATAAAATTAAAATTCAACTTACATCTTTTAAAATTATAGTGTCTAGAAGACACTTCGTACCATAGACGCGAAAACTGATCACACATGCCTTTGGGCTTTTCTAGTAAATGAGTTAAAAGTGACTGTACGTGAACATCGAATTCTTTATCAGACATACTCTCTAGCATATTCTGAAATAATAAGAATAATAGTAAAATATAAAATTATATATATATATATTTATAGGGGTTAAAATGTGAGGGATTGACTCTAATAGTCAACAGAAAATAGAATGAGTATTTTTATTTATTTTATTCCTTTACGTTCCCAGTGGAACATAGGGCTTCAAGCTAGGGCTTTGAAGCTTTAGTAACAGCGGTGTTTATTTTTACTGGATGGGGTGCTGGCCTCATGCCCAACCTTCTACTTTACCAGTCTCATTACTGACTTAGCGAGGTAAAGGAGTCCGTCGGCCAGAGATCGAACCCCGAACCACCTGAGTGATTGGCGAGCACTCTATCGTTGTGCTACCAACACACAAATAAGTATTTAGTGAGACTTATTTCTTTCTGAAAAAATAAACTGTTTCCTATTTAAAGAAAGCGAAAACAATATGAATCATTCTTGACACTGAGATAATCTTACATTGATAAACTGAAAATGGCTTACTGAATGAAAATCAAATAGGTGAAATGAAAACTCAATTCATCAACCAACGATTTCCCTATTAATATAGCCTGACTGACGGACTGACTGAGTTTCAATATAGAAGTTTGCGCAGAAGTGCAAGCTGCCACACTCCGTGTAGCAGACAAAGATAGAGAGAAGGCAGAAACAGAGATTCAGAAGAAGAACTATAATAAACAGAAATGTGCAGGGAAAAGAAAAAAATACTAACATGAGAAAAAACATGACGGTTTAGTGAATATGGGAGATCCCAAAGAGTGAGTGCATCTGTGCCACTGAGAACGATTTTAATTCATATCACTCTACGCATGACACCATTATTTCTCACAATAGTATGCCACTTCACAAGGGAGAAAGAACGTAAACATCTACGGTCAAAGTCAACTAGCCTTTTCATATCTTCCACTTTCAATCATCATGTCTCACAGGCATAAAGGAGGACAGAGAGAATTAGCCAGTACTCTATGGACTGAGGTAACGCCTCAATTTCGTTTCAGTTACCGACCGACAACTACATATCAATGATTTATGTGGCAGAGGATAAAACCCTTGTTAATTTAAGTGAATTTGAAATGTGATTAATAGCAAAGTCTCGTAGTTTAGTCAATAGATGGACAGAGAGAGGGAGAGAGAAACAAAGTGACTAGTAATGAGGAAGCCACAGGTGAACACTTTTGCCTGGCAAATGCTTGTTTTAAGTACAATTGAGTAGCTATTGTGACGCTGAACAAACATCTTGCTTACCAACCAAGCTACATGAAAGTTGAACGAAAAAGCATTGATTTGGTCAACAGTTATGCCTCGTGGCTGATTCAGTGGAGTACCAAGTCTACGGTATGGAGATCATTTGTTCTATGTTTGTCATGACACGAGTTATTATTTTCAATTAAACTATCATCAAGTGATTACATTGAGAATTTCATCGAAAATTCTAATTATGATAACACTACGAGACACTAATAACAAAACTGACTACTTGGTTATTATATATATAATAAGATTTCCATATTTTGAAAACCACAGAATTAACCAATAAGTACAAAAAGTTTACAAGAATATAACAATTTGCTCTTAGTTTGTTCATAAAATATTCACGTCATGGGAAACACTGAGAGAACAATTTCCTGCTGATAAATGTTTAGCTTAACTGAATATTAAAAAAAAAGACAGTTTTGTGTGCTGATATTATAAATTATTTATGAGTGAACATACATTTACAGTTAGAAGAAATTCTTCAATAGATTGATCAAGTTTATTGGGATGATGGGGTGATTGCACCAAAACACGAAAGCCATGTAATTTATTCGATCTTCTAGGTGCAGAATGCACAATATACCCTTAAAATGAAAAAAGAATGCCAAAGAATGAGCCATATATATGTATGGAGAGAAAAAGAGAAATAAATGGCGGTTATTTAATTGATAGTGTATGATCGAGGGAGCCCAAGACGCGTATTGCGTTCTATTTGGGACTCTCTAATTGGATGCACTTGTGTCTCAGTGACTGGTGTTTTCCAGCTGAGACTGAAACCGAGTGCTTATCGTTTTGAATGCCATACTGCTATCCAATAGGCTAATGAGCCACAAGAAACCACCACTCAATGAGATACAAGTGCATTCAGCAGTTGACAAGTCCCCAGATAGGACGATAAGCGCGTTCCTCATTTCGATTGTCAGTCACTATGAAACAGATAACATCATGATAACCCCAAGGGATCACCAAAGCACCCGTACGACATACCGAATTAGCTGCTCCATAAAAATGGTATATCATGAAAACAAATTAAACTGAGACTCATTATACGTTGTCATAGTTGGAAAAATAGGTTCAGTCGTGAATATAAGGATTTATACCTAACAAATAAGAGAGGACAAAAATAGACAATGAGACAAAGAAAGACACCGCATCACTGCGTACACCTACCAGATGCCAAGTAATGGGCTTAAAATAATGTAAGATGTTAGCTAAGAAAAAAATTAGAGAAATTCAAAAGGCATGTCCTACTCTAATTATTCTAAGGCTTTTTATAATATTAACTAGACTGTTGTAGGCAGGATGTGCTAATGGGGGGTGGTGCACAACACATTCCAGTTGATATTAGATCATTAGTATTCACATCTTCACAGGTTTTTACAGCTAACTTCAACTCTATTCAGTTATCGGTTCGATGGTTATTATTGGTTAAATAACCTGTACAACTAACACTTTCTTTTCACCTTTATTAATTATTTCTCAAATACGTCAAAAATTCTATATACAACAGGATCCCGATAGGAGACTACAACTTCCTATGGATCTCATATCCGTTTCTGTATCTCAACATACCAATTAAGGGATTTAGGATAACAGAGTATTATGTAGATCTATCGCGTCAGTATCGATATTACGAGGTATCTCTTATCTTGATTGAAGCTCATTTTAAAGTGTATTTGAAGATATCGGACAGAACTTAACAGAATAGTCGCAGAGTAACAACAGAAGACAAGGGCCAGGCAACAGATCGTTTATTGAGAAAATCAACAGGTATGTATAGATTTTTATGTACATTATTATAGGTTATTGTTAGCAGAGAAACAACGTTTTCTGATTAGTTGTTTTCTCGCTGTCATCTCTTTGTGGCCGTTTCTTTCAGGGTCAGACCATATATCTGCGATTCGTATCCACGCACGCAAAGTCTCTGCTCTTGTTTTTCTCATGACCAAGATTTGGGAAGTAAACATTCACGTAAATTGCTGTCTATCAATTTTGGCTAGCAGACAGCTCTCACTACACTGGTATTTGACAGAAAATTCATCTCTGATATTTTCTACTGTAATCAATAAGTGTAGGATAGAGATGTAGATCGCACGACAAGTTTATTATTATCACTATAACATTTCGCAGACACCTAAAATGCAGAAGTCAACTGTGAATTATGCACAATGTTGAAGTGAAGATACCACGTAAAATGACTGATGTTGCTTTTGAACTATACGCGGTCAAGTTAGAGATGTTGGACGCATTACAATTTTGTGCGTACAAAATAATCAGCTAATATATATGATTAAAACACTTAAACCTCTGAGTTGTATTTAATCTATCCAGGATAAGAAGTTCTCATAGGCTACTTGTTTAGTTTTTGCATAAACCCAGACGTTTCAGTTAAATCCGCGCATAGGTTAGTCATACACTTCGTCTTAAGTCTATACTAAGATTAATAGGTACTTTTTGATGAATTTATGTGAATACAAATTATGAATGTAGAATTAAGTGCAACTTTTAATACTCACCTAATTGTTGTTCTGTACGCAAAATATTGAAAATCGGCTCGCCTACAATTTGACAGAACAAATTAAGCAGTGTATCACTGCGTGTTGACTGATCTCCACATTGAAGATAATAAGAAATAGCAGATGCTGGTTGACCAGAAATAAAACGCTGATAACGATAACTGGAATCTTGGAAAAAAACAAAACAAACAGAAAATTGATTACATGAATCTAAATGTTACAAAAAGTTGGTGAATAAAGTTGTTCTTCAACTTCAACTTATACCATGAGCAATCTGTTAACTAATGATTGAGAACTAATCACAGCAAAGAATGAACTATGACGATAAATATGATGATTCGGAGCATAAGCATGAAGTGAGACAAAAATGTGAGTAAATATTGCAATGACAAACGGATACAGATTTAAAATTAACAAAATAGCATGGGACAAACCCTTTCATATAAATAGTTTCAGCCAAAGGTAACTTGGTTTCTCCCAGTGAGTGACGGATCTATAAGATGTACATTTACAGAAAAAAGTATTACCAATAAAATACCTAGCACTAGTGCCCAGTGGTCATAGTAACCATTCCTCATAACTTTTTTCATCAAGTGGAAGAAAAGAAGGAATGTTCATAAAATTACAATAATATGATCACAAGTAGTAGACTGTTATGAAACGAAGAAATGAAAAATACAGTAAATAAACCAATAATGTACCATACGGAAATGAGAGGAAAATCAATGTATTTTCACCAATGCAATCGATTCGGAGTCATACCACCACAGACCCATGCTATCATGTAGACGCCATAATTCATCATAGCACTCAGAGTAACACTTTCGAAAAATGTGAAATGGCTACCCTTATAATGCGGCATAATTCACCCCTCCCCAATGACATAAGGTGTTAAGGTATACTGTGAGTAGACGTGTCAAGCCTCCATAGATAACACAGATTTATAAATTCCTTGACTGACTTCGCTTAGACTAACAAAACTTCTCGAATATTCTTCCAAACTTATCATAAATAACTACCTATATTTTTGTGTTATTTGTAATTGATTATGCCGGTCGGTCGGTTTTCGACATAGAACTTGGCACATATGTGCGGCAGTTCAAGTCGCCACACTCCATGTAGCACACAAAGCAAGAGAAGAAAGTAGAAGAATGCATAATATAGACAGTAAACAGAGGTGTGAGACAAAGGAATAGTGATAACGAAGGACAAAACAGTTTCATTGGAAATCACGAGTCACAAGGAGTGGATGCATCTGCGCCAGTCATTGAGAACGATTTTGAGCAATGTCACCAATTGTTTCTAACCATTGGTTTTTACCGTCCCGAGGACCCCAACCAGGAAGTCTACACCTTCCTACGTGGCTTATGCCATCATAGTTCAGCCATTGTTGTCTACCTGAACCACGATGTAAACTTCTAATAGAATAAAGAATATATTTGTTCTTATTTTGTTAATATTATGTAAATTTTAGACTGTCTGTAGTTGAAGAGAAGCATCGAAATAAAGTGTGCACATTTCGTACTGCAAATTGTGTTCTTCCTGCTTTGACGGAGATTATCGAGGAAACAAGTTGTATGAAAATGACATCTTATACGCTTACAAGGCTAGAACTTTCTGTGGGCTCTACTAGCCACAATATGGCGTAAACAATAATTAAGGAAGGTGTATCTTTTTCTTCACTTTCTCCAGTGGAACATAGGGCTTTAAGTTAGTAGCTTGAAGTTTCTGTAGCAGTGTTTATTTTACAGGATGGGGTTTCTAGCCTCATGCCCAACCTTTCCTCTTCACCAGCATTATTTCTGGTTTAGCGAGGTAAAGGAGTGCGTCGGCCGGGGATCGAACCCCGGACCATGTGCATGGTCGGCGAGCGTCCTAACCGCTATACCGCCGATGCACTAGGGAAGGTGTAGTCCAATGGAAAGAATACCAAACAAGATATTTGAAACCTTTTCCTTCATATTTTCTTCACCTACAAAATTATGTGAACAAAGTTCGGATAAGAAAAATACAGAACAAGCTTTTCAGTTTCAAATGACCATACGTCATACACTTTAGGATTTAAAAAGGTGATTATAAAGCAGAAAGAAACGATACAAGGGAAGAAACAGGACTATAGTGTAAAATAACCTCTATCACAAAGTTTCTTGACCATATAAAAAACGTATCTATGCAAATGAATTAACTGTACAAGTAAGCTATTTTCTTATTTTTTTTCCACATAATTTTTGAATAATATAAAATTGTCACATTTTCTACAAGCTTTATTAACAATACAAAAAGATATGCAGAAATGAAGACCAAGATTATGCAGCAATAACTACCAACGGAAGCAATTTGAAAGAGGTCACTTTATTCACTTATCTAGACACCATCGTTTCAAATACAGGCAAACAGCACGGATTAGGATTTCAAAACAAGAATTGAAAAGGCAAGGCAGATCCCCATCACTCTTCAAATCAGATTGGAAATCGTCTGCATTGACCCAGAATAAACAACAAGATTCGGATTCTCAACACCATTGTTAAAGTCAGTTAGTTCTTCTATATGGGTCAGAAACTTGGCGCTTGTGTCTCGAAAAGCATTCCCAACAGGTTGCAGACTTTCATCAACAGCTGCCTTCTCTGACTCAGTATTGAAGATCAAATGGCCAGAAAGAATTAGCAACAAGAACCTATCATTCAACCGATATGTAGGAAGAAAAATGGAGATGAATTAGGCATATGCTAAGGAGACCATCGAAAGACATCGCACGCCAGGGCCAGACCTTCAAGTGGAAGCCGAATAGGAAGTGAAAAGTTACGAGTAGGTCCACGGGAGACACGCTGGAGATTGTGTGAGGAGATGTGAGCTTATGGACAATCGTGGAGCCAACTTGTAAAGGACTGCAGAGAACAGGATGAAATGAAAATGTGCTGTTAGAGCCGTATGTTCCACTTGGATCCCAACGGAATAATAATAATAATCTTTTTGTATTATGGGAGATATTTTCACCTCGAATTTCGGACATTCTGATAGTTTCATCATTTGACGAGTTTAATTTTCGAAAAACACCGGAGTTAAGGGAAATTTAAAAAAAAAAACAACTAAGAGAGCGTACAGATTTCTAAAGAAATATAGATTTATAAGAATTACCTTCAGGAATTATAACTTCTCTTGATGTTGTGATCTGAGATGGTAAAAGCGGCTTAGCACCCAATTTCTGCGTTAATAAATCTCTAAGATTTTCTTGATAAATTATTGCATCCTGTAGATTATGAAATAGATACAATAATCAGAAAAGTAATAAATAAAAGATGCGCATCAACAAAACAAAGTTCTAAAAGCATAGTGAAACAATAAACACACGTTCAGATGAGATAAAATATATAACTTAGTTCGAAAATTTTTTAGTACACTTAACACAAACTATTACTGTGAACTGTATATCGCTACTGTTTGCTTTGTCCTGGCCAGTTTACACGTTTCATACTTATTTGTTCAAATTTCTTCATACAAGTATCAACAAAATCTGTAGCTTGAAACAGTAATGGTGTTGTTTTCACAAGGATTAGGAATACTAGCTTGACGCCGAACCTCCCCACTTTTCCGGACTTAAGATCAACTAATAAACTAGCCAATTGCTTAGACCGGGAATCGATCCCGGAGCACGTGAATAGTTAGCGAGCATCCTACCATTCAGCTGATTCCTATGGTGAAATAAATAAAACAAGTAAAATATGCACCAGGAAAGTGGAATGTTACCAAGATCCACTTTTATTTCACTTCTAAGTAATTCACAAAGAAAGAACAGTGCATGTATGCCCAGGCATGCTTCGAAAAATCAGCAATGATGAGATACATAGTCTGCGGCAGAATGAAAGCAAACATTTTACTTTAAAAACCCGTTAAAATCTTCTGTCTTGTAAGCAAAATGATTAACATTAGGGGCAGTAATAGAAAGTAATATTACTTTATTTCAACTCTTATCACTTATTTGACATGTAAGTACTCTTTAACCTGAGTGTATATTGATTTACATGACATATTGTTAGATTTGTGAAGAGGTAATTCACTCTGATAGATTCCATGAGTAATAAGTTATAAAATTCAGTAAGAGTGTGGTGAGAGCTGGCTGCTAGCCAAAGTTGGTAGACAGTAATTGACGTCAATATTTATGTCCCCAATATTGGTGGTGAGAAAATGAGAACAAAGGCTTTACGTAGGCGGATACAGTTAGCATATGGATGATCTGACACAGCCACAAAGAGATGCAAGGTGAACTTTCTGTGAGAAACAACCAATCAAAAGACCGCATTTTCTACTAACAATAATCTACAATAATGTACATTAAAATCTATAAATATGTGTTGATTTTCCTTAATAAACGATCTGTTGCCTGGCCCTTGTCTTCTGTTGTTACAAGAGTACAACACTTTAGTATGTTGTGTATCTCACTCTAAACGAATCAATGATAATGCACTCTCTCCAAACAAGACTAGCGGGGATGGTTTCAGCTGCATGATTCTTGTAATACCGATGACATTTTGTTGGAAAATAAGTCGAATAATGTCACTCTTGATATCACAGTTTCTCTTCCAATTTCTCTTGGTCGTCTATATCTTGCCAATATCCGGAAAGATATTTTGTTTGAATTCCTACGTAAGAAAGTTGAAACTTTCTGGGAGAACTTAATCTCTTATCTTAAGTTTAATCTCTCATACTCCCTCTCCCCTTATCTATTTGAACATGACCTGGAAAACATTCACACCTGTCTTTCTGCATGACAAATTCAATGTAGTTTATTTGCTTATCAGTCTTATATCGCCCAATGTCTGTCTGTCTGTATTCGACAAAGAAATTTGCACATATGTGCGGCAGTTCAAGTCGCCACACTCAATGTAGCACACAAAGCAACAGAAGAAAGTAGAAGACATGCATATTAGAGGCAGTAAATAGAGGTGTGAGACAAAGGAATAGTAATAACGAAGAAACAAAACAGTTTCATTGGAAATCATGAGTCAAAAGGAGTGGATGCATCTGCGCTACTGAAAACGATTTTGAGCCATGTCACCAATTGTTTCCAACCATTGGTTTTACCGTCCCAACCAGTCAGTCAGGAAGTCTACACCTTTCTACGTGGCTTAAACTAACTGTTGTGAATTTCATTGACTGGTGCTATGTTTTAGTTTGACCGCCGCTAGCTCTTTTCCAGCCTGACCCTATATCAGCTAACATTGCCCGTCGAGGAAGCCGATGACTAGGCATACGTAACACACGTCCTAACCATCTCAGTCGATGTAGCTTCACAGCCATGTCGATTGATTTCCCCTCGTCTCTTAATGTAATTTCAACAGTATATATTTCCATGTATGTAGAGTATTCAGCAGACGAGTTCTACCGAAATTTGATGAATTCATTAAATCCTGCTTTATTAACCTTTGTTGCTTGTTTTAAATCTTCTCTTACAGTTTATTAATTCACATATTTTACTCATTCTTCTTTATCGTTTCCTCTTAGTCTTCCTAAAAGGGACTAGGTTATCTTGCGTAGGACTTTGAAGGCTGTAAACAGGATTCGCGGTGTGTGTTGTTGATAGGCATTTTAATATTTGTATGCAATTGGCTAAAGACAACCTGCCTGATGCTGAAGATCCCCTTTTATTTGCGATTTTCTACTTGTATCTGGTCGGGTAAAATCAGAAGGAATTTCATAAGAATTTACGCTCGTACAGTTGAATATAAAAAATTTAACCATGCCGTATTTAGCACGGATGGTGTGTGAAGAGGTAAATCTGACGAAAGAGCTTATAAGACTACTTTATAATCTGTAAAGAAACAGCAGCTTATTACCAGTATTAATTATCATTATGCATATTATTTTTCTATTAACTTGAGTTTTCGCAACTCTGTTATTTTATTTATTTGCAAAAGGAGGTAAATTGTTGCCGTATGTACTGAAAATTACATTCTGTATGAAAATTATTGTTTGGAATAAAGTGATTACAATTAAATATATATACATACTCACCTCTTCAGAAACATTTCCATAGATAAAGCCATCAATAAAAATGCGCTGATAAAACCGTTTGATATAATCAACCAAGGCTTCATATGTAACATCTAACGAGAGTAAAAAAAGGGAATGAACGCAGAATAACATACAGATGGATTTAAGCTCAGCTTATAAAACGCACGACATTCCTTTACGTTCCCAGTGGAACATAGGGCTTCAAGCTACAGGCTTGAAGTTTCGGTAGCAGTGGTGTTTGTTTTTACGAGATGGGGTTGCTAGCCTCATGGCCAACCTTCCCTATTTATCAGTCTTATTACTGACTTGGTGAGGTAAAGGAGTGAGTCGGTGGCCGGGGATCGAACCCCGTACCACGTGTGGCGTGTTTGGCGAGCATTCTACCGCTGTGCCGCCGACGCAGTACGACTCATACAATAGGCATAAAGCTGAGAGAAGAAAATCGTTTGTGACATACGTGTTTAAGACATTTTCTCAATTCTTCATACCAGTATCTTTTTTCAGCAATGTGTTCTAAACGTTTTGTCAAATTTGAATTATTGTTGCTGAATTAATTTGGTCGACCTTAGACACCGGCTACATCCTACTGGCTGATACATGTCATGCATTTAGTTTCAGCCAAGTACAATTGAGTTAACACATTATTCAGTCTAGTGTTTACTTACCCTAATCACAATAGCTAGGAAGAGTTGAAACAGAAGCAGTGCATAGTCACTGATGTTGAAGAGCACTGGCTTTGGCATTTGACTGCTAAACAGCGGGTTATGATTTGAAAGTCTGTTTCACAAATATTATGGATTACTGAAGTAATATATACCAATGCTATTTTTTTTATTCCTTCACGTTCCCAGTGGAACCTATGGCTTCAAGCTAGAGGCTTGAAGTTTCTGTAGCAGTGTTCATTTTTACAGGATGGGGTTGCTAGCCTCATGCCCAACCTTTCTCTTTACCAGTCCTATTACTGGCTTAGCAAGGTAAAGGAGTGAGTGGGCCGGGGATCGAACCCCAGGCCATGTGCATGGTCGGCGAGCATCCTAACCACTGTGCCACAGACGCACCAATGTTATACCTCTATTATTATCATTATTATTTCCTTCCATTCTGAGTGAATCAGAGAGCTTCAGCATCGTATCTCCATTTCATCTTGTTCTTCGCAATTCTTTTAGTTGGCTTCATGATTGCCCGGAAGCTCACATCTCCTCCTCCTCCGCCTCACACGATCTCCTCCATGTTACCTTGAAGACCCATGCTCATCTCATCATTTTCTATTCGAATTCCACTCGAGGACCTAGTGCGTGATGTTTGTTACTCAATGACCTCTTCAGTTTATGTCTATTGCATCTCCATTTCCTTCGGAATATTTGCTGGGCAATAACTTTTTTGTTTATTCGTTGACTGCCAGAGTTACTTATTAGTTATCCTTTCTGGCTAGCCATTTGGTCTTCATTATGGAGCCAAGGCAGTTGTTGATAAAGTACTTTAGTGACGCACCAAATTTCTAAACCATAAGTTATGAAAATTCGAATATTGTTTTTTATGCTGAGTACGCCAGATTTCCACACTTGTCTTGATTTTTTTCCAATCCTGGTTTTAAAGGGTAACGCAAGACCATTTTCTAAACATTGCTATACATTTCTATTTGATACAGTTAGGTAAAATAGGGAATGATCAAATGAAAATTTCGCCCAAATTGTTATTCTTAGTAAAGATTCATGTATCTGAATGGAGATGCTTACAAACTTTCTCCATCTCTCAGTTAGTTTACTAACGGATTTAAACTGAAACAGGCTGAAAACTATTGTGTATTAACATTGGCAAGGATCTCTGCAAATAATTTCTCTTTATCATGCAAGTGGTTAAACTGATATAGCTGATGGATACAGCTAACCCTACATACACTAATTTACTATACAATCTCTTTCTTCAAATACCTCAATCACACATTCAACCTGTAAATACTGCATTTCAAAGGTTAACCAGTAAAAAGTTGTAATGTAGGAAACACTTAGATGAAATAAGGGTTTAAAATCTAGAGGTGAAGAAATATACAGACATATCAGATGTAAATATCAAGTTAGTGCTTCTGTACTGTTCAGAGACTTGGGTAAGAGCGTCACCAAAAGCATTTCTAAGAGGCTGTGGACTTTCATCGACAGCTCTTTGTGGCTGTTTCTTGAATGTCAAATCCTCTATATGTTAACTGCATCCGCCTACGCAAAGTCAATCTTTGTTCACATTTTCTCACGACAAATCTTGGGAACGTAAATATTGACGTAAATTACTGTCTACCAATTTGGCTAGTAGACAGCTCTCACCACAGTAGTAGTAGTAGTAAATCAGGTGACCAAAAAGTTTAAAATCCTAGTCAATAGAAAGTGGTCAATACATATGTGAAGATAGTAACCAGGAGACGCAATTACATCACGCATGAAGAAATTTAAATCATTTCACTTTGTGCTAAATATGGCGCTGAAGATGTTGTCCGGAAGGACGACGAAAGCTTCGCGACTAAACCAACCAGCTCAGAGAACACTTTTAATTGCAAAAGTAGTATTGTTTGCCAGCCGGAATTTGCGTGGTTTGAAGTGATTCGTTGCGCTGAGCTCAATCAATCCCGCTTCTCTTGTAAACACTCACTGAATTTGAAAGATAGTGTTAAAACCTACTGTGTCTACCAATCGATCGATATACGTTAAGAGAGATTATTAACCTTAGCATGTTAGGTCTGCAGAGCATATTTCAAAGTGACTGCAACAGCAAATTAAATAATCTCACACCTGTGACTGTGGAAGTAGATGTCCAACATTATATCTCTCATGAAATTGATCTCAAAAGTTTTTAAAAAAATTCAGATGTAAAACATGTTTAGGTCATATACTTAAATTTGTTGAAGCTCATTTTCCGTGTTTACAAATTATTTGTTATATCTCATGTTATTTATGATTTTGACCCTTAATGATTTCAACTTTGACCTTTTGTAATATGCTAACTATTATATAAATATGTATGGCCAGAGTGTGTGTGTTAACAGTATGTTCGCAATTGTTTTGTGCAAAATGAAATGAGGTGTTAGATAAATAGCATCTAAATGCCTTTCAAAATCTATTAAAAAAGGCGACTAATTGCTTTGCATTTTGCCTCTTGGCTAAGTAGGCTACAAAACTTCATTTCATGGAGGATTTCATCATGAGCTGACATCAGTTAGAGAACCACTGGAAAACCTGGGAGTACTGGACAGCTGTTTCGTCCTAGTTTGGGACTCTTCAGCAGCACGCACCCACCGCCAGGGTTTGAACCCAGGACCTTCTGGTTACTAGGCGAGCTCGTAGACCATTGAGCCACTGAGGTATCTAGTACTCCCAGGTTTTCCAGTGGTTCTCTGACTGATGTCAGCTCATGATGAAATCCTCCATGCAATCAAACAGAAATCTCTACAAAACCAATACTTGAAAACTTCATTTGTGAATACATTTTATCAGTGAACAGTATCAGGTAATGTGAGTTTTTCAGCCGACAACTATTAATACGAAACAGTTATGCCTATAAGTAAAATGTGAAATTTTTAAAGAGGGAAATACTATTGATAGGCATAAATATGGTACTAGAAAGATAACTAAAAGACAAAGCTAACATATTCGTTACAAACAAACAAGATGATTTTTAGCGAACAATTGTTTTCGATAACTTCTTCCTCAGACTCTAACAGTTATAGTAATGCTTAATAACTGTGCTGACTGACAGGCTGACTGAGTTTCATGATGGGTAAATTTTGTTTTGATAAAGTCTGACAGTGTTATACAGTAATGTTTACTGATGACGTTTCGAGCACAATTTATTGCTCATAATCATATTAAGGTAATCACACGACTTCCTAAATTCATTTATATAGTTCCATTATTTTTCACTTGATTTGATTGGTAGTATTATTTTCCATATTTCGGGTATGAGTGATGATTCATTCCTATTGCATGTGTTGGGTGTAGATTCGATGAACAAAGATTCAGTAATCAACCTCTCTCTCCACCTACCTAGATTACTTTTTAGAATTTTAACCCTATCCCAACCTATTGTATGGTTGTGTGTTAATGCATGCATTGCAATTGCCGAGCTTTTTTCTAAATTACTTATCTTCTCTGGGTCAAGCATTCTTACCTTAGCTAAATGCTTATGTTCTGAGAATCTGACTACCCCTGACCTACTAGTTTGACCTATGTAGTTGACCTCATAGTCATTGCAGGGTATTTTGTAAATTATATTATTTTGTCTAATTGGGACTGACTGAGTTGTCTACAAAACACAAATTTGCACAATATCAACTCAACTTTCTACACTCCCTACAGCGCATAGAAATAGAGAAAAATGAATGGAAATGGACAGGAGAAAGAATAAGTACATGGAGAGTAATAAGAATATGATAGATGTGGAAATTCATAATGAGTGAATTGTATGCATTCGAAACATTGGAAACTATTTTAAACCATGCCCGTTACCAACATCCACCGACATCTAGAAGACTCCAACGAGACACTCTACACTTCTATATTGTGACTCAAACCGACAGTCAAGGACTTCTTGGACTGATTGTCAGGTAGTAACTATTCGCCCACATATACACACTAAGCAGTGAGTTATACTTATTTTATCCGCATAGCTACCTAAGCCTTCGTATCCGTGACTCACACTTTGATAGTAAAGCGCCTAAAACAATGGAGAACAGTTCTAATTTAAAAATGACACGATTTAAACTCATGGAAATACACATATAAATAAATGTTTAAAAGCACTGGTTGAAAAGGCATATAAAAAGAACAAAACAATGTATCACAATGTATATGCAAATAAAATATTTACCTTTAAAGATAATCATAAAATCATCATTAATCCAAGAACGATCAGAGACAATATTTGTTAAATAAACACCTGTTTGTTGATAAGGTGCTTTCATTTTGAAATTGCCTATTTCTCGGGATAGATCTTCACGAAGACATTCGAAACGTTCCTTTTTTGGTTCATGATAGTTGACTAGTTCTGTTAAAACCTCGTCTACAAGACTCTTCATTTTATGCGAATAGCCGGAAAATGACAACTAATGGGTAAATCAAAAACAGAGAAAAATATTTTAGAATAACGTTCTCACGTAACTTTATAAAAATGTTTAAAAAAAAGTGAGAAGTGGAGCAGATGAAAATGGTAGACTTGGTCAAGTTATCTGGACGTATTATTTCTTCACAGGTTAAGAACAATCACAGACAGAACTATTTTATAATATTTCTCAGATGTCAATTCTCGCAAAATTTTATATCCTTTAACTACAGTTCGATATTGTTAAAAAGTAGTGGTAGTTTACGTGCAACGCTAGTCAATGATTTCAAAGCCCACATTTTTTCGTAAACTATTTGTTACATGCTGTGTTACGGAGTAGTTAATTATGTTTTTTAAAAGCAAGAGTTTTAAATTAGAAGGGAGCGAGATAACGACATCATTTATGACGTTTCATTCACTCAGTAAATAATAGGTGCTGGAATGTTAATGTCGATCGGTTTTCGACATAGAACTTGGCACATATGTGCGGCAGTTCAAGTCGCCACACTCCATGTAGCACACAAAGCAACAGAAGAAAGTAGGAGAAATGTACATTAGAGGCAGTAAATAGAGGTGTGAGACAAAGGAATAGTAATAACGAAGAGACAAAACAGTTTCATTGGAAATCATGAGTCACAAGGAGTGGATGCATCTGCGCTACTGAGAACGATTTTGAGCCATGTCACCAATTGTTCCCAACCATTGGTTTTTACCGTCCCGAGGACCCCAACCAGGAAGTCTACATCTTCCTACGTGGTTTAAACTAACTGTTGTGAATTTCATTGACTGGTGCCATGTTTTGGTTTGACCGCCGTTAGCTCTTTTCCAGCCTGAACCTATATCAGCTAACATTGCCTGTCACGGAAGGCGATGACTAGGTATACGTAACACATGTCCTAACCATCTCAGTCGATGCAATTTCGTCGATTGATTTCCCCTCCTAACCTAGCACTCGACGCCTAACCCCTATATTGCTCACCTTATACCACTTCACGCGGGAGATAGAACGCAGACACCTGTGATCAAAGACAGCTAATATTTTCATGTCTTCCGCTCTCAATGGCCAGGTCTCACAGCCATAAAGGAGGACGGAGCGGACTGATGAGCAGTACACACGCCCTTTGGTCGATAGTCGGATATCACGTCTACGCCAGAGACGGCGTAAACTGGCATATGCGAAACTAGCTTTGTGTATCCGTGCTGAGATTTCGTCTGAGATCAACCCGTTGGTACTGGCTGATGGTACTTCCCAAGTAAGTGAAGCGGTCAACGTGCTCTACCACTTCACTTCCTATTTCTAATCTAGGGGTCGGTGAAGTCCAATCCTTCAGCATCATCTTACATTTTACAGGGGCGAATCGCATGCCAAACATACGAAGATTGTTGCTCAAGGTGTTTAGAAGACTCTGCATTTTGTCAGCGTCCTCGCCTAGAAGGACTATATCGTCCGCATATTCTAAGTCAACGAGATTATTCCCTGGTAGCAAGTCAATTCCTGAGTCGTTGAAGTGTATTAGGGTTAAATCCACTAATACGTCTATGATGAAGTTGAATAGGAATGGGGATAATGGGCATCCTTGACGGACGCCACTAGTTGTCACCACTTCAGATGACAACTCACCGTAAACCGTCACCTGGCTGCATGAGTACGAGTAGAGTGCCTTAATCAGTGCAATGTATTTTCTCGGCATTCCATTTACAGCCAAGCATCGCCAGAGAACCTCTCGGTCGACAGAATCGAATTCCGCCTTTAGGTTAAGAAATATAATGATTGTTGGACGCCGGTAGGAATGACTATGTTCTAGAATCTGTCGAAGGGTGAAGATATGATCAATACACCCTCTACCTGGCCTAAAACCTGCCTGGTTTCCTCGTGCTTGTGTCTCCCGAGCACCACTTAGTCTACGCAGTATTATTGAGCCTAGGATTTTAGATACTATATTAGTCAAGCTAATCCCTCTATGATTATCACAAGAAGACTTGTCTCCCTTCTTGTATATTGGAATGATCAGTGACTTACACCAACCCGATGGGACTTTCTCTGATTCCCAGACGCTGCCTAGAACCTCAATTAATGCCGACAGTAAACTGTCTCCACCGTACTTAAATAACTCTGGAGTTATTCCATCAGGTCCCGCTGCTTTGCCTTGCTTCAGATTAGTGACAGCTTTAGTAACCTCAGTTAAGGACGGAGGACCTGTATCTATATTCCATTCAGGCAGGTGTTGGATGTTCGGCAGGTTAAGCGTGGCTGTGGGCCAATTAAACTGCTCCTCAAAGTGTTCTTTCCAGCGCTCCAGACGTCTATCCTGGGAGCTAATTATGATGCCATTTTTCTCAGAGATTGTTTCGCTTATCATTTGTTTTTTGCCACCTGTTTCCCTGATAAGCCTGAATAGTTATCTGGTGTTGCCGATCGCCGATGCCTTTTCCATCTCTTTCGCTTTTGTCACCCACCACTGTTCACGGTCCTTGCGAAGACTTTTTGTTAGTCTTCGTTTAAGTACCTTTCGCTCCTCATCATAATGAAGGTTAATGTAAATTTAAGCTGTGTTAGGTAGATAAGAAACCATCAGCTTTATGAGCGAGTGGTAAGCTATATCGCTGCGGTTACCAATCAGAGATAAGACATTTTTGTAGGCAACCATTGAAGACTATGAGATACTTGAGATAGGCGATTACCGACTTCATATGATATTATTTAAGATAATTTCTAATGACACAAACTTATCTTTCGTTTTCATCGTATGATATATATATGTATATTTTTTATTATAGCTTGATTTCACACCATATTTTTGGTACAAGTATAGCTTTTTCAGCATGTGATATCGGTAGCCCAATTTAGCTGGCCGATCATTGATATCGGGCGTGCATCAGGAGGGGATCGAACCCCCGACCACATGCATGGTCGGCGATAGTCCTAACCACTTTGCCACCGACGCACATTCTTCACTTCCCCTTTTTTCTGTTCCTAAGCCAAACTGCAATTAGCTATATTATCAGTTTCATTTATTCATATGAACTGATGTGTTGTGTAACAAATCCTATGTTTCAGGATTTCACCATAAACTGACGTCGGTTAGAGAACCATTGGAAAACTAGTGAGGGCTACTGGACAGCTGTTTTTTCTCCTAGTTTGGGATTCTTCTGAAGTACACACCCACCGCAACGGTTCGAACTCAGGACGTAACGGTTAGAAGGCAAGCTTGTAGACCATTAAGCCGCTGCGACTCCATCCTATGGCCTGCTCATGAATTCCAACTTCTGTCAATTCATGATAGTGCGCGACCACTAGCGAATGTCATCGGCGAGTATTTGTCCTCACACCCAACCTACTGTACCCTACTGGTCACGACTTCCTACTAGAACCCAGGTAACTATCTATCTATCTGAAAAGAGCCAATCGCTAGTAAGCATCAGATTAGAAACCAATCGAATCCTTGCAAACTAACACTTGAAAATTCTATGTTGTTAAGTCATTCAGCCAGTCAGTCATTATGTGAAAAGAAGGCCTATTAAAAAAACTGAAAATCACGTACACTTCTCCTATTAAAACACTTCTTTAAAATTTATAATTATAGAAAAATCAGGTTAAACATATTGCATACCTTGATACCCTCAATAGTACGCTTCATATCGATAAACATACCAGCAAGCAGACAAGAATAGGAAAGTTCATTAATGTGATCTTCAAACAGCTTCACATAAAGTGAAGAAAGTAAAGTATTCAAAGGATCTTGAGATGCCAATGTACTTTTGAGAGAAAAAAGAAAAATAATTATTATAAATAATTAAACTTCTCAAAAATTACGTCAATCATCAAGTTTCAATATTGAAAGTAAAAATATTATCAACATGTAGCTTCTTTACGAACCGAAATAAGGTAGAAGAGCAGTTTAAAACTAAGGAGAAATGGAGGAAAGTTGATAATAATGATGGACTATCGGATTCTCACCCATTGCTCACGTCATATTTCTTGTGATTCCGATAGCAGTGCGTAAGTGCAGCCGAGGAATATCAAAGGAGGATGCAATTGTTATACATTTCTTCTTCAGTTATGTTCCTATCCATCAAAAGTTCATTGCGAAATAAACCATGGCAATGACTAAATCTTAACGAAGTTGACAATCTAACTTAGTATTATCAGTAAGTCAAACTTTGTTTACTTTAGAAATCGGTTTTCAATGGTTCTTTAACTGACATCATTCCGTGGTTAAACTTGAGAAACAAATCATATCCCCATAAATCAACTGTTGAAAATTAATCTGATGCTCCCTATAGACTGCCTACAGGACGGAGTTTGCTGGAGTTCTAGCGAGAAGTCGTGACCAGCGGGGTACATTCGGTCAGGAGTGAAAAACAAGAAACTTGCCGATGACATTGGCTGGTGGTCGCGCTAAAACCACGAATTGGTAGAAGTTAGGATTCATGGGCTAGCCATTGAGTCAGATCCCAGTGACTGAATGGTCTGCGAACTGGCCTTGAAAACGGAAGGTCCTGAGTCCAAAGCCCCGTGGTTGCAAACCAACTTAAACCAAATCAAAAAGCACAACAAGTCTGCCTATAGTTATACTCAGTAAACATGTGCATATCCAGACATCCAGTAATAACTAATACCTACTGTATGAGATAATTATGAAATGTCCTGACTACGTGGATTACAACAGGCAAGGCACACCTGAAAAGTACTACCCTATTGGTCAAAAGTTGTGCACCTCACTGTACCACTGATCATATATATTATCCGAGTTGTTATGCGAAATCCAATTGTAGGCTGTGAATCGATGACTATGAGTATCTAAACACAAATGTTCAAATGCTAAATATGTAATGTATGTTTCAGCTTAACTTCTAATTTCGAAGTAAGAGGAAATACAACATCATACTGCTGCAGTACTACTAATAAGATTAATTAGTAATTTTTAAAGAGACGTCCATTGGCATAAAAATATCAAATAACAGAGAGATAAATTTGAAGTCATAGAAATCAAATGATTCAGCGTTGGCGAGGAACATGGTAGACACGAAAAGAAGACAAAAAACGCAATACGAAGGGCATAAGTAGACCAACACGGAAGATCTGTGCAAATGACGATTTCCAGATAAGGTGTATATAATTTCGCGATGTAGAGATACCAAATTCCAAATAAACATTCCGTTACCGAGTCTCTTGGTTTCAAGCTTTACAATAATAGTCAACATAAAAATGTGAGATGGTAACATAGTCGGATACTTTAAAATGAGTTCCTTCGCAGACAGACCATCCATATTGGCATGCACTTGAAACCCACAGAGTACTGGACAGATGTCTTGTTCTAGTTTAGAGCCTTTAATCAATACGCGTACAAAGGTGCAGAATAGGTAGAACTGTGGTGAGAGATGGCTGCTAGCCAAAGTGGGTAGACAGTAATTGACGTCAGTGTTTATGTTCCCAATATTGGTGGTGAGAAAATGAGAACAAAGGCTTTGCGTAGGCGGATACAGTTAGCATATGGATGATCTGACACAGCCACAAAGAGATGCAAGGTTAACTTTCTGTGAGAAACAACCAATCAAAAGACTGTATTTTCTACTAACAATAATCTACAATAATGTGCATTAAAATCTATAAATATATGTTGATTTTCTTTAATAAACGATCTGTTGCCTGGCCTTTGCCTTCTGTTGTTACAGAACTATCGGATTTCAGGGTGAAAAGATATCCTTTCGTCGATTTCATTCTCAAAAGCTGTACACTCGCAATTGTGTGCATGAGTTCACATATATACGTGAAAATTACTTTTTGAATTCCATATAATAACAAAGGGGATTAAAGGTGATAATAATCTTCAACTTAATATGAAACTTCAAGGGTGTGAAAACAGATGACAAGGAGAATAAAAACAAAATCACACAGCATTAGAAAGTGGTTGCGTAATATGTGAGACAGTTTTTTGTAAAACGAATACAGGGGAGAACGGGATGAGCTTGGAAACAAATTGAAGTATTATTTTTTCCATAACTGAAAATGGGGAAAAATAAAGGGAATGAAGAAACAAACAAACGAAAATTAAGGAGTCGAACCTAACCATATCCGTCGTTAATGTAGAGATTGGACTAGTTCCTTTTGAACACATAACTCGGGATTTCGATGCATATGGTGAAGGCTTCTGCAGAACAAAGAAACCAGAAACACACTGCACATTTGGTAGATTTTGTAAATCTGAATGATGGATGAGTTGGTTGAGATGCCATGACAAGTACTGACGAGGTGTCCAATCATCGCGCTTCTAACTGAACCAGTGCTTCCTCTTTGCCACCACTCCGGGTAATGCTCTCTAACACGTTTTGAGGGGACGATATATGGTGGGACGACCTATGTACCCAGATCCATGGGAGCAGGTGAAGTGATGTATGCACAAGCAGTGGGTAGCTAGAGAATATCACCCCTAGTGTTGCTAAAGGAAAGTTATTCTTTAAGGAATTAGAGGTTCTTCACTTTAGGTTAACTGTCGCTAAGTTTCCCCTGGAGTCCAAATCCACGTACAGTGTTTTCTTTGGTACTGAGGTGCATTGTCCTCTTTTTGGCTTTAGTTTCATGTTCTTCTCCATGAAACGTGTCGGGTATCCATTTTTAGCCAGAATATTTTTGAGAAATATAAGAGCTATCCCTCTTTACTATTCAGTTAATGGGCAGGAATAAAACAACAGTGTATTGTAAAATAACCTCAACAAACCGTGTCGCATCCTAGTGGATAAATGATAACAAATTAGATAACCTTTGCTCTAAAATATTTTATGTGCATAAAAATTGCAGATAGGAAGTATTCTGGTTGGCTAAGAATACACCTCAATGACATTTATCAACTTCTGTAAGGTAGAATATTTATGACTCAACAAGGCATGAAGTATTAGAGAAGGAAAACATCGTTGTTATAGTACTCCTCAGGTACCCCAGTCATTTCTACTTACCTTTAAGAAAATATTAATTATTCTACTGACAGCATAAGTCAATATACAAAGATAACCGTGTTAATACCAGAAATAGAATTTCCGAACCGTTAGTCAACTTATTCTGTGAAACGTCATACAAATTATGCTTTCTTCAATCCTGGTAAGGCAGTTGTCTACTGTGAGATGAATATGGAAGTAAATGCATGGCAACAGAAACAGTCTAAAGTGATTCACTTCGAATTGTTGTTGAACGATTGAAAGCAACCATGCAGTAATCAAAAATCAAAGTGAACAACAGCCGCGAGCTGCTTAACCCTATCAACAGATTGCAAGCTTGAACAATAGGATTTGATAAGCTCTAAGGAATAGACAATACAATATGAGGCACACCTCAGTGATCAACTAATGTATCTAACACAGTCATGAAAAAGAGCAGTTGTGATCCGAAAATTCCTCTGTTAACATCTTTAACTACATTACTAGGCGAAACAGCTACAAGTCTCTAAGGGAACAACAGTCCCTTCGGGATTACAGATAAGCCAATAGTTAGGACACCTAAGTGTCTAAGGAGTCCTGTTCACTGCCTCTAACCAAGCAACGTCTACAACCTCTTAGAGTCAAAATGAAAAAACGGATACGTGCAATGCTCTATAAGCATAACACCATCTAACGAAAAAAAATACGTAATCAAAAGCAATTGACTATCATAAAAACTCAATACTATTAATTACTATACAAAAACTTAGAACTCGTAGACCTAATTCAAACTAACCTGACTAAATGAAATGCTATATGACATTTGGGAAGATTAAATTCATTATCTGGGAAATACCAGATTCTAGTCATTGCTGTATCCAAAAGCAATTCAGGGACCTCAGGATATGGTGGTGCACATCTTGGCACTAAACTGAATTCTGTGGCAATGAATCTATTCGGCTCCGGAAATGCTAAGTCAGGATTCATGGAACAATTTCGCCATGTCTACAGAAAATTAACAAGTATACAATTTAAAATAACAACACAGATTGTAAGACATGAGCAATAGAATAAATCAGAAATCGAGATATTCTAAGTCATCGCTTATACGTCTTGAATTTGTACAATAAAGTTTAAAATAATACAGTCTGAAATGGACGTATAGCAGTAAATGTATCGTTGAGAAAATCAACCTTAAAAAAATTAATTATATAAAAAGGGGTATATATATACATTCAGATATAAGTTACTTAATATTTACGTGATTGTACAGAAGGTCTTGTATTGAACACGACCTGAAGAAAGGTTTTTTTATAGTAAGAGGTAAATGAAATCGTATTGTTATGTAACAATGAGGTGCACTTTCACTGTGCGTCGGTGGCACAGCGGGTAGGACTCTCGCCCACCGTGCATATGGTCCGGCGTTCGATCGCCTGCCGACGCACGCCCAATATTGATGATCGGCCTGCAAAATTGGGCTACCAATATGATATGCTGAAAATTCTATACTAGTACCGAAAATACGGTGTGGAATCAAGCTGTAATAAAAAAAACACAAGGTTGTCTACTACCACCGATAATATTCCTGACTGTGGTGGACTATATAGAGCAGCAGGCCGTGGGAAGCGAGAAGACAGAAAGATATGGACTTCGCCGATGATTTCTATCTAATGCCATACAAACCTGAAGACCTACAGGTGAAAACCGACAAATTGGCAGAAGAAGCAGTGAAGAAGAGAAGACTTCAAATGAACGTAGAGGTAACGAAGACAACCAACCAACAACAAAAAGCACCAATTACAACGGAAGTTAGAACTAGGTCATCTCCTTCACTTATCTACACAGCATCTTTTCAAATACAGGCAAACAGCACGGATTAGGATTTCAAAACAAGAATTGGAAAGGCAAGGCAGAGCTCCATCACTCTTCAAATCAGATTGGAAATCGTCTGCATTGACCAAGCATAAACAACAAGATTCGGATTCTCAACACCATTGTTAAGTCATTCAGTTCTTCTATATGGGTCAGAAACTTGGCGCTTGTGTCCCGAAAAGCATTTCCAACAGCTTGCTTTTGCACCATAGTGAAGATTAGATGACCGACCAGAAAGGATAAGCAACAGAGAACTCTGTCAAGAAACCAACCAACAACCTATTGTCCGATAAATATAACGAAGGAAAGGGAGATGGATAGGTCACACGCCGATAAGACAGTTGAGGGATATCGTACGCCAGCTGTTAGTCTAAGGGTGACATGGAGATGAGAACTTATAGGCAATCATGGAGCCAACTATAAAGGGCATCAGAGAACAGGATGAAGTGGAGATGTGCTATTGATGCCCTATTTTGCACTCGGGACCCAAGGGTAGAATTTTTTCATGTACGTTCCCAGTGGAACATGGGGCTTCAAGCTAGAGGCTGAAAATCAAACCCCGTACCACGTGTGGCTTGGCTGGCAAGCATTCTACCACTGCCACCGACGCCAAGGGAATAATAATAATCTTATGAAACGTAGTATACAGACCAAGGAAAAGGCGTAAGAGACGTGAGTGAAAGATGCATTCCAACTTGATCTAAGGCGTAGAAGAATACAAGGACTATGTAACTTATGAATACACAGTCATGCAGACATTATCCACACGAGAGAGGTAATTAGAGGATAACGTTTTAAGTCATCACATGTTATCATTCATAATAGTAATAATGATCATCTAAAGTAACTCACTGATAAGGTTTCTTCAGGTATATCAGTACAAAGGTATTTGGTTAAATACCAAGGTTCTTCACTAACACATATGTCTGAAAAGGTCGCACTAACTATGAATACTCTGAAAGAAAAGAAAATTGTGAAAATACATGTGTTATAAAACGAATATTTACTTGATTGGTAATATAGTCAAAGAAATGATAACTACAGTCCCTCAAAACTTGTTTTATAGTGAAAGTGCACCTCATTGGTCATGGTTACTGATTACCAGTCACCACGTCATGAGTTCCAACTTAGCTCCATTTCCAAGTGTTGATTTGCATAAATTTGATTAGTTACAAGTTTGATGACAAGCTGACATCAGTTAGAGAATTATGCAAAACCAAGCAGTACTGGACAGTTGTTTCCTTTTCGCTGGGGATTCTTCATCAGTAAGCACCCATGACCCAGCCAGCGGTGAAAACCAGAACCTTCAGATTACGAGGCGAGCCCATCGGTCATTCTGTCACTGGGACGGAATCCACTGACACATTAGTTCTAGATTCGAAATATATATAGAGACACCGCCAGCTAAGATCATCGGTGAGTACCCGTCATTCTTGATGGACCCCACTTGAAATGGGTTTATCGGTTTCCATTTTTGGCTTCATTCCTGAGGCGAACAGATAAGACAATGTCCTCTTTACGTTTGAAATTAGTGATAACCAAGAACAAGTGATAACCCCAATGAAAGTGTACGAAACGATCGCGGTTTTCGGTTCGTCGACATGGAATCCCATGGATGGCCATAAAAAATCTATCCTACTGGATCAGAACCCTAAATGAGCACTTAAATAACCCTCTAAATCCTCCCTGTTTCAATCTTTATTCCCCTCAAGTTTATTGCTTCTTCGAAATTCAAAATAGAAACAAATTTCTATACCAATCAAGATTATAAAGTTCTAGGATAAGGAATAAAGTATGCTGAAAAAGAATAAGAAGAAAGCATCGTATACAACCTACCTACTATTATCTGGAGTTAAACAATTCAGAACCTCCTTAATTAGTTCGGGGTCATAGACACTTGCCAAGTAAGGACCTGAGAGGACATCTTGCATTTCGTAACGCTAAAAGGATATCATATGAAGAATGGAGGGGGAGATAAAAAAAATCGTTTATCAGATAGTGATTAGAGCAGATACGTATTTTCCTTAAAATCGCATTAATATCAACCTTCAAAAACATGAAGTTTTCCACTAATGAGCCTACAGAATGAGCGGTTACATGAAATTGGAGTAAATGAGTAGGATAGAGTCAATTACTGTGCAGTACATTTGTCATTTGGTAGGTGCCATTTAATATTGCTAAGACTCCAAAGGACATATACTGACGGATTATTTTAGATTGTTGGTTTATTGATTACCTTCAGAAGTTACTGTTCATCTTTCCAGACTCTTACCTCAATGATACTAACAATAATCCTAATACCTTTGTGAGTTATTATTTAATGTGAAGCGCTACATAAAGAACTGAAGGCGAATAGAAAAAAATACTAAATGAATATGTTAAAAAGAATGTATAATTGCCAATTTTATGACTGTATGTACAAAAAGATAGCACGATATGGCATAATTATGTTACATTAGACACAACGAACTAATTTTTAAGTATTGATTTTGTGGGGATTTAGTTTGATTGGATGGAGGATTTCATCATGAGCTGACATCAGTTAGAGAACCACTGGAGAACCTGGGAGTACTGGACAGCCATTTCATCCTAGTTTGGGACTCTCCATCAGCACGCACCCACAGGGACCCAGTGCCTTCTGGTTAGAACCCCGCTGGGTGCGCACTACTGAAGAGTCCCAAGCTAGGACGAAACGGCTGTCCAGTACTCCCTGGTTTTCCAGTGGTTCTCTAACTGATATCAGCTCATGGTGAAATCCTCCATACAACGAACTAACACAGAATTACAGTTTACTACGATGCCCAAGTCTTACTCTATGCATATTAAAGAAAACAATACCATGAAGAATGGAAAAACAGGTTATACAATTTTTTTAAAAAGAAATATGTCACACGGAAATCGACTAAAGATATGCATAGTGAGGATTTTTTGTATACCTACCAAAGGAAAAGTTTTACACCTACAAAATAAATTAACCAGCATTTACAATAACTTACTAATAGATTGCCAGCTAGTTCTGCTACATACTGATAAGGTGGTTCTTTATCTTTAAAGCGAAAATTCAACTCAGCTATAGCCTAAAGTTGGAAAAAACAAACAGAGTTGAAGGAAAAATTATTTAATTAGAAAAGAAACCATTGGACAGCACAACATTACTAACAGTCAAAAAGTATATTATTCTATAATTAGTGAACATTCTGTAAAAGAGACAATAGCAAAATACAATTCGCCTTGGTGTCTAATAGTAAACTTTTGGTTATTTGTGAAAATGTTGATCAAAAATACTATATGCACAAGAAATGCACACTCCCAATAAACCTTGGCTAATGATTAAGGTGCTACACGAATAGTTTCAATCAACTCTACATAAGTGGAACCAAGAATTCTTTAACTGTTTTTAACGTAGTCATCACCCAGTAATACTTTTAATACAGAGTTAATATAAAACAACTCCACAACCAAATATATAACTGTTTGTTAGACTATGAACTACAAATATTATTCGGGAACTCATTTGAAGTTATTTTGAGATTTTATTGAAAGGAAAGATAGTTGTGTTCCTAGAATGGCTTTATCACGAAATGAGGTCGCTTAGAGGTCCATTAAAAATTGATACATACTAACCCGTAAGTTCATTTTAGTTTGGAATTTATTAGCAATTCGTACACACACACTGCTTCACCAAAAATCGAGCACATGGCTATCCGTCCTTGAATCACTAGAAGTCCACTATCTCATAAGCTTTACCTCCCATCACAAGTAGTATTACGCGGCTACTGTTATCCAGAGTAAGTAATTATCTATATGCCTAAATCGCTGGAACTTAAATGGTCATTTCACCTCATCAAAACATATCAGAATCTCTAAAAGTAATAAATATGTAAATGTCATGTTTGCGAAGAAATTCACCAAGAATTCAACAAATATCTACAGGCTTAACATTTGAAACATCTCCATTTCCTAATTAAATTCTATACACAAATAGAGTATATATTTGGATCATTTCACAATTGGGTTGATATATTATCATGTTCTTAGTACTTTACAAGAAACAGAAGCTAAATACATGAAGAAAATGCAATACATATTCCTATATATACTAATGTAACTATCTGTTCCGCTTACCAACATCTTACTGCATAAATTACTTTGGAAAATGACTGTAGGACGATGCATACTACTGAGACACAACAATAGTCAAAAACAGCTGACACTAATAAGTCAAATTCTTATCTAGGCTAGTAATACCTAAGCAAAGACATTTACGTACGATTTGAGAACTATGGTGAGAAAGACAGAGTTTAAAGTACTGCAACTGTGAAATTTAAATTTCTTACAAAAAACCGTTTTCGTGAGCTTTTCTTAAACTTTTCTAACAGTATTCTTGGTGTCCAGTGGACCATTACAATTAAATCATCCAAACACTGGTTTCAAAATGTAGTTATCATAAGATTTTAGGTATCCAGATTGTAGATGTCATGAATTTCCTGGAATAACTTGAGCGCCGAGACAGACTGAATCATTATAAACAGATGAAAGACAAAGTACAATCCTATGTTGTGACGGCTATAAAAATATTACCATTTTGCCGTGTTTTACATACACTCATACGGACAAATATGCACATATGATGATTTGATATTAGTCATTGCAAATGTGTTATTGTGGTGAGAGCTGTCTACTAGCCAAATTGGTAGACAGTAATTTACGTCAATATTTACGTTCCCAAGATTTGTAGTGAGAAAATGTGAACAAAGATTGATTCAAAACCGACCACAGCATACTTTGCGTAGGCGGATGCAGTTAACATATAGAGGATTTGACATTCAAGAAACAGTCACAAATAGATGAAAGATTAACTGTACGTGAGAAACAACCAATCGGAGGACTGTGTTTGTTTGCTTAAATATCCATAGTAATGTACATGAAAATATATATAAATATGCGTTGATTTCCTTAATAAATGATCTGTTGCCTGACTCTTGCCTTCTGTCGTTACATTATGACTGTTTACATTTGCCTATTGGTAAAAATGTCTACCCACAAGTGACCTTTACAGGGACTCACTTCAATTTATGGAATTGCATGACAATATATTTTGAGGGTTAATAAAAATCAGAATAATTCTGCTGCCGATAAAGCTGTAGCTTACATAGAGAAACGTTTAGAAAAATCTTGTTTTGATTTTTTTTTCTTAAAAACGCAGGGATTACTTTGAATAGTTTATAAAATCATGACAAGATGTGAATTTTTGAGTTGGAAACTTTCTATTTGATTCAGCGGGAACAAGGCTGATACCACACTATGCCTAATATACAAGCTCAAAAAAAAACAGATTTCAGTACAAGGAACACCGTAAATAGTGCCTAATGTGCAATCTGTGAATTTGACTTGTGGAATCACCAGTTCTCTCAAGTAGGTAGCCAGAAAGCGGGTAGTTTGAATTGATTCAACTGTCTAAGCTGCTGATGAGTTTTGCCCTAAAAGGATGAAACGGTCATGCAAATGGCTAGCAAACACTACTGATTGAATGAGATGGGCAGTAATACAACTGCTCAACGCAACTAAACTTTTCCCATTATTATTATTATCCTCCAAAAAGAACAAATCAAAGTCGGCAAATCACTACTAAAGAACAACTAAAGATAAATGTTATAACTAATTAGGATTTTTTAAAATTATTTAAGAAAATTACTAAATAAAGAACGAAATTCACGTTGAAATAAATAGCATACCTGTTCCTCATCGAATATCCACTTTTTCGGCTCATCAGCACGTAGCATACTAATGAACTGATATATGTTTTTAATAATCTCATCAGTATTTTCTATATTTTTTTTTAAAAAAAAGGTTACAAAATATAAAAAGAAATGTTATTATTTGCATATTTTTTAAAATGAAATTTTTGTGTATTTGGGAATATTAAAGTGAACGTGCCTAGCGTATTTATTAAAAAAATGACTTAAAAGGAATAATAATAATAATAATAATAATAACTAGTAACTTACCAAGTCCTTCTAAAGTTAAATCAATCGATATAATTAACGAAGAAATCCCTGCTCCTGGTCTGCTAACACCACAAGATAATCGACTTGCCCAACCCAATTTTTTGAATAAGCTTAGTAAACTGCCACGACTTTCATTTCCAAGTAAATGAACTGCATAATTAGGTGCCTGTAAAAAGCGAATCAAAAATAAACAAACAAAAATACATCAAAATAATAATTACTTATATACAGTATATTTCAAGTGTGACTATTTTGTCAAACAACAGAAATAGGTGGAAATTAGTGTCACTTGAGCGAATTCAGTCTACTCCAATTTTAAGCAAATTGAAAGGAGCAAGGTTGTAGTATAATTTACTGCAAAATAAATTTGTCAAACTTTCTTCTCAATACGCTTGAATAGGTTGAGCAAAAGCAGTCAATCATGAATTGAATGACATCCTGAAAATATTCAAATGACAGTCATCCTGCTATCCAGATCACCTTAGAAAAAGAAACTGGGAGGACAAGATCTTTCCTTGATCTGTTACTCACAAGGAGAGCTGACGGGTCTTTGAAAAGATCTGTTGACGGAAAATCGACGTGGACGGGACAACTGACCCATGTTTACAGTTTTGTCCCCATAGACAGATAAAGGAATCTAATCCGTTCTCTCTCAACATGGGTGCGGAGAATTTGTGGTGAAAATAGTGTTGATAATGAACTCGAACAACCAAAAGAAACCTTCATAAAGAACGGTTATCCACTACGTTTCGTAGGGGCCAAAAGCAAAGCACGTGGAAGAAATACAAAGATTGATAAGGTAGCTGAAAAAGTGTCACACATAAACTTAGGATTTAGGAGTGACACTGCGAGTGAAATACTTAAAATCGTCTGATGAGATCATTGAGAAAAACGTTTTTTGCGGCCACTTTACGAATAACCTACTCTAGCCGTCCACTGGTGCACCTTAATGTCAAGGAAAAGTTACCTCGATTGTCTAATTCCATGTGTATTTTTTATGTTCACATGCTCTTGCGGAGCTAGGTACATAGGGTGTTTGTCGAGAAACATATCGCACCGCGTTCGAGAGCACCTCCCAATTTGGCTGAGCAAAGGAGAACGTGAGGGTATTAATTCATCGATATTGCAACACTTTGTACATAATGACCACGCAGCATCTGACACATCGTTTAAAATAGTCTACAAAATTTACCGAAGGGTACACGAGTATCATTATTATTATTGTATCCTTTAATTCCTAGAGGAACATAGGGCTTCAGCCGTGCGTCTCCATTGCATTCGGTTCTCTGCTAGAGTTTTCACCTGGCTTCATGTCTGCCCACACGTTTTCATCTCCTCTTCACATGACCTCCTCCAAGTCACCCTTGCAATGACGACCAACTCGCCGCTTCCCTTTCGGGTTCCACTCGAGCAATGGCTTGCTTGTCTAGTGATGTCACTTGATGGTTTCCTCAGAGTATGGTCAGCCAATCCATCTCCATTTCTTCCTCCCTATTTGTTTCACAATCGGTCCCTCGTTGGTTCGCTCCCAGAGATCTCTGTTGCTGATCTTTTCTGGCCAGCCATCTGATTTTGAGTATTGAGCGAAGACAACTTATCTTATTTTTCATGCTAAGTGCTGAGTGTTGACCTCCACACAGACTTGAGGGTAGTGAAAGCTTGTCTTGCTTTTCCGATTCTTGCTTTGATATCCTCGTCAATTCCGTCCGCCCGTAATTGAAACGATGCTTCCCAGGTAGGTAAAAGAGGTTGTTTCTTTCAGGTTCCTCCCATTTATGCTGATTGTTATCTGTTGTTGTTGCTGTTGGTGGTGTTGCCCAGGAATCTTCATCACCTCTGTTTTCTCTATGTTCACCTGAAGTCCTATCTCTGATGCTTCTTCTGCTAACTTGTTGCTTTTCGCTTGCATATCTTCCAGTTTGTGGGAAATCAGACATATATCATCGGCGAAGTCCAGATCCTCCAAGTTTTTGTGTGAGTCCATTTTATGCCTGTTTCCTCATTGCCCGCTGTTTGTCGCATTATCCAATCTACCGCAATCAGGAAAATTACTGGAGATAGTAGGCAGCCTTGTCTTACTCCCGTCTTACTTCGAAGGATTCCGTAAGTTTCCCGTTGTGGATTACTTGGCATGCAGCATTGTCGTACAACTGTTGGATGAGATGTATAAGAGTATATTTGCTTTGTATAACATAAAGCCAGAACTTTGTGTACGAAAACAATTTGTACGATCTCTTTCGTCACCATGGTCTTGATTTCACAATGTAATTCATATAACAACTTTGTTATCCTTCTTTATCCCATGCTCCATTTTTGTTTTGTTTCATTTCACTTTATGTTATCATATTCTAACATTTTATCTAGTCTACTATTTTGACAACACTTCACTCATCCTAGGTCTCCATCATATATTCACATTTCCGAATGTACTTTATTTTCTTATCATCTATTTCACACTTTAGCATTCCCACTCATTGTTAAACTTCAACACACAAACACGGGAACTGATCGTTATTGCATATTGTAATTCAAATATATATAAATATACGAATGTACAGCTATGACAATGAAATCGTCAAAAACAGAATTTTCTTCGCTGAATTCTTTGTTTTTATGTCTCAATGGGGATTATTAATTTAACTGAATTTCCTTAGATAGTTGGTCTTTGTATTGTGTGCTTAGAAGAACACTTCAATCATATAAGATGTTACCTTCAGCTATTTTAAAGGTCTTCTATCAACTTTTTATACACTTGGAGTATTTGTTGTAGCGTTGTGGCTATACTATGCGCGAAAATACCTACTCCGGCGATGACTTTTATCCCCATCCGATTGAAAGTTCTAATAGCATTCCAAATGCTATATTAAAACAAATCAATCTTCACTTTTCAACTTATGTAGCTGGTAAAAATCAGTGGTTGCTGAACGACATGGATTTTACATTTTATACTAATACATATGTGTGTAAATGGCAAACATGAACTCAATAGAGATAAAATTGGAAATATTGGATGAAAATAAGAAAATCAAAACAGGCTTTCTATACAAGTTTAATCTATCAACGCAACAACAACAACAAGAAATTAAAGGACGGATATGTGATCATGAAACCCTATACACAATCTGAATCAACAGTCAAAAACTTCATTGATTATTTTTTTTCGCGTTTTCTCCTGAAATTTACAGATCTTTCTTACCAGTTAACATAGCATTATTGATATGGGATAGTCTATCAAGAACGTTCGTCAACTCAACAACAGATTGATTCACCTTTTCCACTTAAAACGTTAAGCACCGAAATAGCATCAGTGATTACTCATACAGATTTATTACTTAACTAACAATTGAAGTAGTTAACACATTATATAGATAATTAAAAAATAAACAGTAATTACTTGTGCTTTATACTTTGGTATGTAGTCAGGAATAGGCCACATTATATACATTTGGTGAACATCATTTACTGGGACAACGAATACCTTTTTCTAAATAAAAAAAAATAATATAATAAAATAAAATAAGCCTTAATTTAAATCTCAGATGCAATAGTTAAACTCAATCATGACCTTCAGATTACGGGATTTTTGTACCGATTTGGATTAATTTCACTGTAGATTTCGAATTCACGCCTGATTGAATTCTGACCCAAGTGGCTGAATGGTCAACGGAGCTTGGTCCCCTAACCTGAAGGTCCCGAGTTCGATGCCTGGTGCAGTCATGGATGTGTACTGATGAAGAGTTCCAGGCTAGGACGAAAGAGCTGTCTAGTGCTCCCCAGTGGTGTTCGATAATCTCTAACTGATGTTGGTTCGTGACGACATCTAACACTCGAAATTAATCACAGTCATGAAAAACGTTCCTAATAGACTTTTTGACAAGATTCAAGTCTGAAGTTTGCATTCCCAATGATGCTTAGGAAAACAGGTTTAAATTACTTGGATTTACAGCTTTAAACGCCTGTAGTCAATGTGTACAGCAAGTTGAAAAAAGGTGGTATTAACAGGTTATTCAGTATTAGAGTCTTAGTGTTTGGTGAAAACGTGAATACAATTCTGACTAGAATTTTTAAAATTGAGAATAATATTACATCTTATCGGCACATTTTACTTGTTCTTCGTTAAAAGCAAATGTTTGTTTTATTTGTCGTGGAAAATTTCCTGTCAATACAACTTTTAATGTGGTTGTTGTGGAGATACACGTGCTGCTTGCGCCACTGCCTACTCGGAAACTTACACGTACAACCCAACCTCGTTTTGATAACAACCAACAATACATCGGATCAACTTACACGGGAAGAATTATCATCCGCATAGTCCGTTGTTAGGTTCCACATTTAGTCTTTGGTGGATCACTTGGACTAGATTAAACTTTCCAGTAACTGACTGTTCTAGTTAATTTTAATGCATTGTAATTATTATTATTATTGCATTATTTAGTTATTGATGTTATTTCAAATTTTCAACTTATATTATTCTGGTGAAACTAACTATGATATTTCTCATTATACTTATTATTTGGTCCACTACACATTTAATAGTCGTCCCTTGTATTAAATGCTTCTTACGCTGTCTATCTGATAGACTTTCTACGAGTTGATCACGGACTGATATCAGTTAGAGAACCATTGAACACCAGGAAGTACTGGACAGCTGTTTCATCCTAGTTTGGGAATCATCGGCAGTACACACCCACTGGGGTTCGAACCCAGGGCCTTCCGGTTACAAGGCAAGCTCGTATACCATTCAGCCACTGGGACCCGATTCATATTTCGTCATATCAGTCGTTTTATCACAAGTACCCCATACAATACCTCACATAACGCCTTGATTGGGCTTACAGAAAGCGAGGATAAGAATCCTATAATTCATGAGATTTATGACTTACACCTGTTACTTTATAGATTCAACAATCCACGAATTCGGACCGTCCTAAATGAAGCCATATGTATGACTTCAGGCACTAAAGTATGCAAATATAGCCGCCACTTCCCCGATGACAACGACGCTGTTGGATGAAAAGCATCTGTAGCAATCACCTACAGTATATGAACTAGGTAACAAAAAACTCTCTCAACTTCTTCGCTACATGAAACAATTCATGTCATCAAATTTGAAGTATTTCATCTAAGTCAATTGAAGTGAAGAAATTAGCTAACAAGGTGGATGAAATGATAGACGTTCATCCAGTCACCTCTTTGTGATCGATTTTGGAGCAAGCACTATAGTCTTCTGCGAACACTTCTACCCAAAATAAGCTAATACTGTCCAATCTATATTACAGATAAACAGACATTTGATTTTAACAAAGAATCGGTAAACTCTGCTGATAGAATGAAACATTATTTTTAATTTTTAAAAATCTAGATAAAATTGTATTTGCATTCTCCACACATTTCATATATTTTTGGTATTTAGAAGATGGAATAGCCTATCTACTACAAAAATTTCGCATGTGGTGAATCCCGAAAGACAGTGAACATCGTTAAAACTAGTAAAAACCATATATCAACGTTACTGAGATGTTGGTAAAGAATTATTATATTGTACAATGTGTATTCACACTGTAGATATTACATTTTTTTTATTCCTTTACGTTTCCAGTGGAACATAGGGCTTCAAGCTAGAGGCTTGAATTGGGTTGCTAGTCTCATGCCCAATCTTCCCTCTTTACCAGTCTTATTTCTGGCTTAGCGAGGTAAAGGAGTGTGTCGGCAGGGGGTCGAACCCTGGACTACATGCGTGGTTGGTGAGCATTATACCGACGCTGTAGATATTACATGAATAAATTAATGAAAATTCATTGTCACTCCATAATTTGGTCTAAGGATATGGTGAGTGAAAAGCTCATTTTTGAATAAATCTTTCTTATATATTACAAAACCATCATTCACAAATTTATCCTCTTCCTGAACACCAAAACTTTATTCCAGTAATACGGATATCTTCAAAATGAGTACATGTTGTTTCAAAACTTGAATTCTACTATCAATAAAGCCAAAAAAAAAGCATTGAAGCTATATTTAACTGGAGGTTAGTTAATTTCTTGATGTTATGGGCCAAATTATATTTTGATTTCAGACTTCAAAAAGAAAATAGTGCAATTCAAATGGAATTGTCCAGAATTGCTAACGAGTTGTACTCATAGTCACTAGTGCATACAGCATACAATGATTATTAAACTGATACACTCAATATATATATACTGATCAATTTTAATTCCTACAGCAAAAAGTACATGGTACAAACTGAACATTAAATATTTTAAAAGAAAGTTTGTTATTATTGAATAACTACGATACCTTGAGACATGTTTCAGGCCATGGTGTTTCATTCCATGATTGTGGAGTAACATTGCAATCAACAACCTCAGAAAACTTTTTCTCAACAAGTTTCTCTAAATCGTCTAAGGACTCTAAATAAGAATTATTCAATAAGACGAAAATAAATATTGATCAATGTCATTTCTAAAAGTAAAATGTTATGAACAACATATACATTATGTAATTATTTATGAGATAAATAGTTTCAAGAGAGATTATTTTATTTATTTCAAGTCGGAACATTCATTCAGATTAAGGGAAACTGATGAACTTCTAACAGCTTAAATAAAAATCGATAAACGTCAGTATGATGATGGAAATTAGTGACGAATAAGTTAGAGTAGTAGATATAATTAAAAGTAGGTAGGTGTTTAGACTAATCCAGCAGACTACGATAAGAAATTCAAATATCCCTCTAGATAATACAGAAATTGTATTGACTCATTCCATCCAAACACAACTACATCGATGAACAAAACACTCTGAAGTACAACTAACTTTGAACTTATATTAACAGTGGACTTTTCTTTTAATAACTCCTAACTTGATAATTTACGTAGAGCGGCAGTCTGAACAAAAAATTACCAGAAGGTGCTTAGCTCTTTTCGAATTTACACTGAAAGGTTTAAAGTCTTTGAAATCTAAAGACAGGGGTATTGAAAGATGACATCCAGAAGATATTAGTTACACGTAATTATCCTGGGAAGACACCAGAATCTGACTGTAATAAACTGAGAATAGTTAACCTAGTTGTCAGCTGACGCTTAAAATGGAGAGTATCTAGTCTGAGCACCGGTTTATGGGATGCAGTTGTCACAAGATTACAACATATGAGTACGAAAATATAGCACCAATTCACTGCCGGTAGTTTCTATTATTACAAGCCATTACTACAACATTAATAAATTTACATATGAAACACATTGAAGAACTGCTATGTGATCAGATCGTTAAAATCATACTATGCAAATAAAAAAGTGTTTTTCGTTCGATTTTTTGACTTTTTCTTTCCTATTCTTCTACTCAGCAGTTCTATTGTTCACCGTACTTGCCAGTCAGTGATCCAAGCAAAGTCTTCAAAATTGCATAAATATAAAATTATTATTACTATTATTGTTCCCTTGGGTTCCTAGTGGAACATTGGGCTTCAACTGCACGTCTCCACTTGCTTCTGTCTTCTGCCGTACTTTTCACCTGCATCCATGTTATTCAATACTGTTTCATCTCCTCCTCACACGATCTCCTCCATGTCACCCTTGGACGTCCCACTCGCCGATCCCCTTTCGGGTTCCACTTGAGCACTGGCCTGACGCGCGATGTCACCCAACGGCCTCCTCAGCGAGTGTCCAATCCATCTCCACTTTCTCCTGCATATTTGTTGAGCGGTTGGTTCTTGTTTTGTTTGTTCCTATAGTTTCTTGTTGGTGATTCTTTCCGGCCATCTGATCTTCAGTATAGAGCGAAGAAAGTTGTTGATAAAGGTCTGCAACAGGCTGTTGGAAATATTCTTTGTGACACACTGGCCAAGTTTCTGATCCGTATAGAAGAACTGACTGACTTGACGTTTGTATTGAAAATCCGAATTTTGTTGTTGATGCAGGCTGAGTGACGAAGATTTCCAGATTGGTTTCAGGTTGATGAATGTGTTTCTCGCCTTCCTGATTCTCGATTTGACATCCTCGTCCGTTCCTCCTGTAGTTGAGACAAAGCTCCCTAGATAGGTGAATGAAGTAACCTCTTTCAAATCCCTCCCGTTGATGGTGATTGGCGTTGGATGTTGCTATTGGTTGGTTATATTCATAACTTCCGTCTTGTCTATGTTCACCTGGAGTCCTGTCTTTGCTGCTTCTTCGACTATTTTGGTTACAGTCAATTCCTCATGAAAATTTCAACTTTATAAATCAATTTTAGTGTGCGAATACGCTTCATTTAAACATACCTTTTCCAAGAACAACCAATCCCATAATATTTGCCGAATACCAAGTTGAATGGAATTTTAGAAGTTGTTCACGTGTATTCACAGATTGTGCAGAACTTGACTGAAATAAAGAGTATCGATTCCCTGAGAAGAATTTCGCATAATCATGACCAGTTTTTGATAAAGTACGTTCAAGTTGAAAAAGACGTCTGGTATCACTACTAATATTGTTCTCAAATTCTGACTGTACAGCGTTAACCTACAATTAAAAGTGAGTTTATCAGTCAAGAGATAGTGCATGAGGAAATAAAAATTTTACCATTAAATAACATTTATATTAGATAGTTGGAGCCAATCGGCAGAAAGCCCACAACAGTCCTACAGGAGGTCAATCGCGAGCCCAAATAGCTCAGTGGTAACCTCTCTGACTGCAACACTGGGTGACGCGGGTTCGAATCTCAGAAGGGACATGAGTTCCTTCAAGGTTGCAGATACGCCTTGCTGACTGGTGAGTGCCAACTAGCACGAAAACTAGGTCCAAGGCTTCCTGCCGATTGTCCCCAACTATCTAATATCATCAAATCAATGTGCACCGAGCTTCCTAGAATGGTCGCCACATTTCAAATACTTGACTGATAGAATTCAGTCTGTACAAAAGAAAGGACTAGACACGTCACACTAGTTACTAGTGTCCAATCAAAACAACATTTATGACTGGTGAAATTCAATATAGCTTAAATGGTACATTCATACATAAATATACTCTGAGAAGTTGAAGTGTTCACACTGAAGAATCCAGAGATTTCACGCAGTGGAAAAAAAGATAGTTTCTGTTTAGTAGTATCGTTCAACATCTGTTAGGTATATTCTACTGAAGTTTAGGAAGTATTAACTGTACCAAGAATGCTGGAATTAGACATAAGAACAAAATTTATAATTTCATGATTACTGTGAATCCATTACATGATAAATTTTTACATCCACCATGTTAAAATTACTACTTTAGTGATGAAACAGTTTGATTTTACAGTTGTTATTTGCAGTTAGTGATGAATTACGAAGTAAATGAATATATCTTACTTGATTAATGTTGTAGTTGTATTGTTTCAATTTATTCTATGAATCTAATTATCACTATTGGACGTAACATAAGAAACAGTCAGCCTAACTAAGACTTTCAAACGATCATAACAGCAAAAATCTAAATCTAAATCAGTGTAATAGCAGGAAAATTGCATTTGTTTGCAGCAATTCATCTCCCAATGCTGTGCTACTAAAAACTCAGTAATGTAAGGCATATATTTCCCCACATCATTATTCAGAGGCTTTCTTACATTTTGAGGCCGTCTACTTTGGAGAAAATTACGAGGTAGAGTATATATGAAGTAAAAAGCACTAATGAAATGCTTGACTGAAAAACACTTTCTGCAACTGACAACTGTTGAAATAAAATCTCGCAAATGATATGACTAACAACTAAAAACTCAATGGTATCACCCAAAACTACTTCGAACCCTGGTAAGGTAAGAACTTTTATTAGATGAGAAACAAGTTGGTTGAGTGTCCACTTGGCAAGCGTGAAGGTGAGAAAAACAGCTAACTAGCAAAATTTACAAAAAAAGACAACATGTAGGCCTAAACTAATAAATAGGGAGAAGTTATTTTTTTCACACCAAGTCCACCGTTGTTTGGGTTTATCTCATAATACTTAGTGTTGTCTGTACATGCATAAGTGCAGCTGAAAGCGATACGCATTTAACTGGCTAGGTACTAAGTCACAACTACTATTTGGGGACTAGTAAAACTTCTTAACCATTCAAACCGCGATAAGCGCAGCACAGTTGACCTAGTTCACAGCTAACTGACAAGGTTAATTAGTCAGTCTCACAAAAATCAATCAATTTATAAAACAGTTGTCTGTTGACTTGATTACGACGCTAATAGACTTCCTATAATTTGACCTGCACGACTAATTGATATCATAAACTCAAATGTATTACCTGTATCTTATAACTTAATACATAAAAGTGGGTCAGACCGTTAGATTTGTGTTGCATTGGACTGTCATTTAAAAACAATCTTAATCGATAAATTGAAGCACAAAATGCAAGTCTTTTTTTCTTGATTGGTTGATCTGCGATGCCCCAGAATAACACGTGTAAAACAGAATCATGGGATTAAACCAACCAAACAAAAGTGTTTGAACAATTTCTTTTGAAATATTTATGTTTACTGTAATCTTAAATTGAGATCTCTATTCATGATCTTGACTGCTAAACAAGGATGAAAACATCAGTGTCCCATGCGCTTGTTTGAAAATACGTAATAAAAGATTTCAAATATCCAAAAAAACATTTATAGGCCGTTACTTAGAAGTTAGAGTTTCGAAATAACACAGAAATGAATGTTTATTCTATATAAAACAGAAAATATCCTCACTAGGGGATACTTAATAATTCTTGAATGTTAGAGAAAACTGGGATTTATCACATCCCGTGACACAGTGGTTAGCCAATAGCTACCACTGCCTCATTGGAGAACTGGTTCTTTGAAATACAAGTTTACACTTTATTTTTCGTAGGATTGAAACCAACACAGGTGTACTGTACACCCGTATTACATCGATAGCAGTGGAGATATGACTCATAGGTTTAAGCACTCGGTTTCCAGCCGATGGGACACGGGTTCCACTGCCGCTCCACCTACTTCCGTATGGGTATCTGGGTAGTAGCACTAGCCTTTACACAAGGAAAATGACTCAGCCTGGTGCATGAAGAATCTGTTTCGGGTAATTGAGCTTGAATAAATGACATCGACATGAAGACACAGGAATGGATGGAAGAAGCCTTACTCATTATCTATCCGTACAGCGGCTTTTGCTATTGATTTTTTTCTCTGCTATTCTCAGTTCGATTTTCTCACTCTATATGAGGAGTATCCAGTGTCTTAAACGAATAAACTTTGTGTTTAAAATAAGTGAACATAAGACCAGTGAATATCAATGGTTTAGTCTTACACACTTATTTGGAGAGCTGAAATGAATCAAAAAAAGCTAACCTCTCGTTCTGTTGCAGATTCTGTGAATAGCGGAGAGATAAAAAATTGAGAAAAGATATCCAACGCCTCTTCGAGATACTCAGGAGCGATATTGAAAACATAATCTGTTTCGTCGGCTTTTGTGGATGCATTTGATTGACCACCATGTTCAGATACATACTTCATGTAGGTGTTTTCTATGGGGTACATCTCTGTGCCAAGAAATAACATATGCTCACAAAAATGTGCGAGGCCTGGCAGTTCTTTTGGATCTGACAGTGAACCTAGAATGATGACACTAGAACCAACGAAAATATAACTCACCGATGTTAACAGACAAACATGCTGCAGACTTATCTGTGTTTGGATCACTTATGAGAAGCACTTTCATTCTGTTTCGCAACAGCATAACTTTATAATTCCGTGAGTCATTCTCAGACTTTCTTATCACCGGTGATATCGGGTCCATAGGATGTGAAGAGTCCATGATGGTCTTGAATTCCACATTATATAGACAAACAAAGAATCAAAATAGTAATAAAAAAAAAACTGAAATTCACCATGACTTGGTTAAAGAGTGTGAAACGTGTTAATGCATGCACGGATTTAGAACAAAAAAATTTTGCATGCAAAGAGCAGTAGATTACATGTAAGAGGCATACAGGATTCTAAGAAGTAAAAAGTGATGGAGTGGCAGGTACTTGTGAAGCGATTACTTCCGAGACACAATTAATCGTAAATAAGGGTTCAGTAATTTACCAGATAAATTACTGCATACGAATCGAACGAAAATGAAGAGTAGGGCGAGTAATTTCCCTCCTGCCAAAGCAATTACCTTCCCTAAAGTCCCATTTGACTTCAAACGGTGTCGCTGGAGAAACCATTTTTCATTTCACATTTAAAGTTAACAGAACTAGTTGGCTTCATTATAGGTAGGTTTTAGGAGTCCGGTGCAAATAGTGTCCATAATAGTCTTGTTTGTTTGAATAAACTCACATGTTTCAATTTTGTCATTGTAGAATGTTACTTTCGTAACTCCCAGACATGTACATCTAAATTTGCTCCAAGGATGCTGCATTACTTAAAAGTTAATTTGCGTGTATTCTTTGCAAAAGTTGTACTGGACACTAAGTGAAATTTTACATTACAATTACTACCTCATTTCTTACAACGTTTTCACAGAAGAAGTGGTGTCTGCAACCTCAACTGATTCATTCAAGAAGGGTTTGGACAACCACAGAAATTTACTAGAAAAGGACTAACATAGGCTCCACGCCTTCTATCTTCAACCAATAAAACTGAAATCTGAATCTTTTACTACACACATGATGGTGCTGACGCGTATTTTTGTGCTAAAATATTCTTATAACACTGTATTACTCGTGTTTTGTATTTTTAAACACATTTATAAGTATTTTCCCTGTCACCATTTCAGTCTTAAAAATATGTACTTCTATTTCGAAAATCTCCATGTCATGCATCTATCCCTGAAATATGGGATATTTTCAAAAGTGTCTGCATTGTGCTCGAAGTATGCTCCAAAGTTTCTGCAATGCACTCAAAGTCAGTGCTAGCTGAGATGCTTCAGGATAATTAATGCCCAGTTGGAATGGTATTTATTTTTTATGGACCCGGGGAAAATGGATAGAAACGTGGGAAGAGGGATATCAAGAGTGGGCAAAGTGGGAATAAGAGGGACGTCAAAATTCTAGTGAACGTAGGCAAGTGGGGAAAAGGTGGGGATTGTAGCAAATGTGGGTAGTCTATGTTGAATTTCACGCGCGTCTTCGCCGACCTAAATTGCTCTTTTGTGCCGTGTTCCACCCACTTTGCCCATGTGCATTCTCCGAATGGGTACAAGACAACTTATGCATTCTTTTTGAAATAATTAGCTCCCTTTATGAATTTAGACAAAGCAATGAGAAGATGTAATTTGTCTGGATCTAAAGAGATAAAAGGTGAGAAAATAGACTTAGGTCAAGTTAAAAGGACATATTGAGGGTCAAAATAACAATGAAGACCACTAAACCAAATAACAGACGTAATAGTACATCTGCTATGGTATCAAAACAAAGTTTAACAAGGAAGGTTTAGTGTGATGACGAATTTTTTTTGGACGCATAAAGTTAGTTTAAAGTTTCTAATTGCTAGAGCTTCCACAAACTTTAGGATGCACCCCAAACACTTCTTATAGATGTGTTAACTCATGGATCTCTACAAGTAAGGGCTTCAGAGCATATTCCTAAATGGCTCCAGAAACAAATAGAATCTTCAGAACCCATTAATTGTGAAAACAGGAGACCTAGCTCCTCTATTGCGAAACATTATAAAGACGACATAAAATTGACGTTAACACATCTCTTAAACCTATCTATAAGAAGTGTTTGGGGTGCATCCTAAAGTTTGTGGAAGCTCTAGCAATTAGAAACTTTAAACTAACTTTATGCGTCCAAAAAAAATTCGTCATCACACTAAACCTTCCTTGTTAAACTTTGTTTTGATACCATAGCAGATGTACTATTACGTCTGTTATTTGGTTTAGTGGTCTTCATTGTTATTTTGACCCTCAATATGTCCTTTTAACTTGACCTAAGTCTATTTTCTCACCTTTTAACTCCTTAATAATTTCACATATATTCCTATTACAAGTCCGTGTATGATCAGATTGTTCAAAATGTATTGCGCAAATACAGATTCAGATGATAAGGATAGTAGGCTCTTGTGCCTGCGTTAATCCTTGCAAAATTTATCTCTGCAAAGATCTAACTTATCTTTGAAAGCATCCACTGATTGAGCTAATACTACTGAATACGGTAAGGAGTTCCAGTCATTGTGCACTCTGAGGGAATCTATATTCTGCACGTGAATCCTAATGTGACAGAAATACATTACACGATTCAGACAAATTCTTCTTATTGTTTATACAATGTTGATTGGCTTAATAAATTTATCTGATTCCAACGGAATTAAAGTCACAAAGTGGCTGAAGACACAAATATTCATTGTCACTTTTACCAGCATACGCAGGCAATATCAACAGCTGTTGATGAGGTGTCTAGACACCTGTGTAACTCCGTTATTTACGTGGACGACCCCTCAAAATACTCCTAGACATTTTCAAATCATTATTACTCAATTCTTCTGAACGGATCAGACAAGCTACTGGTGAACAAGGTGACAATCAAAATTCCGTAACCAATCCACTCACATGAGCAACGTCGCACTTCAAATTCAGCAGTGGCCTATTACCGTGAAGGTCATTTATCAATACAATAGTTTTTCGGCAACTGAATTTGCATAAGTATTACGGAACACAGTTTATGTTTCATTTTGCTTATATATCTGTAAATGCTGATAGTTTTATATCTAATTAATATTCAGATAATAGATAAATATGTAAATCAGAGTTAGAAGTCTTGCAGTTTGTTTGCTTCAGAGTAGTCGACTGAGGACCAAAGTGTCATATACGTTTTGAATTAGCTCTAGTAGACAATGACACCATCAGAAGAACTATATGACAATTTTCGCCCTTTTTGCAGTGATCTCTGAGTTGTTTCTACCTGTAAAATGAGATGCTTATACAGGCTTTCAAGCTAAGAAGCTTCAGTAGCGGTGTTGTTCACATGAAATAGTGTCTTCATCCCCGTACCAACCCTCCTTTTTCTTCGACGATGACTCCAAGAAGGTTTACTACCTCAGATTTAGGAGTTCGCCGGCCAGGAATCAAACCGAGTACCCTAATGTGGCTTACGAGCATTATACCACTGAACCACTGACGCTGTTCTACGCATAGTCACTTAACATCATCAGGGACTACACCGATGGGTTTCTTGTTATCTCAACACTACTTCAGGAAAGAAGACTTAAAAATCGAAAGGACTAATATTCAACAGTGTAGTTTCCTAGACCAGATAAAAAAGTTGTTTGATAACTTTGACCTTGTAAATTACATCGTTTGACCTTGACACTAATCGTGCTATGCACTCATCAGCTAAGGAACAGTGTGTCAGATGAGCTGTGTTAATGGTCCCGCTCAAAAGTGTAATCCGAATACACAATTTCAAATTCCAGTGCAATCGTAATGACCTTATGCTTATGAAAAGTTATGAGTGAAACTCCCTTCAAATTGATGCACCTAACTGAGCTTGTCATAACCAATATGATGGCTTAAACACCTAGACGAGTCCAAGTGTGTGATAAACTAAAAGCGTTAAGCTGGTAATTCCGAGGTAAGATGGAAAGTGAACTTCAACCTAATATATCACAAAGAATAGTTCCCTAAAATGGATCCAGCTGGTGCTGGAGATAACCTGTCATTCGTCTCAGAGTCTGTCCACTGAAGAGGAGTCTTTTCAGTAAGGATTTCCCTTCCAGAAAGGAATGCGCCATGACTGTACTGTCGCTGCGCAAATAACCGCAGGCACGTGAGACATTCTCGGGACGATACTAAAAGTTGGCGCAGCTCATGTGAATAAATGGGCGGAATACATCCCGAATCTTGAGTTAAGGGAAAGTGTGGAAATGGCTACACAGTGCGTGTCGTGAACACAAGAAGCACTCAGTTGATATCAAGTGAGTAGGAAGTACATAGCGATGAAAAAGATAAATGCAGCTATTTTCAGGATATATTGCTTTTCTACCGATACTAATCCTTACACTTTTTGAATCTCATGTTTCAGATCCTAGGGGAAAACACAGGCTTAACGCGTGTTGGTCTTTAACAATTTCGTATTTTAAACTTTGTCAGTAGTTGCGCCAGGTACAGTGTAAATATCCATAAGTTTCGTCAGAGTCTATTTACGTTACAACCGAGTAAGCGATTAAATGAACAAACACACTGCCTTAAGTTATTTCATCCTCTTAATCTGCACAATCATATTTATCTACATAAATTTACATTTAAACGAAAAAATTACTCATATAAGTTACATATTATTACATGACAATAACACGAGATAACGAAAGTGATGGTGTTCTCCAACATAATGTGAAATTTCGAAGGTGCATACAGATTAAGAGGGGAATAAGAATAAATCACCCAGCATTAGAAAACAGTTGCGTAATATGTACAATATTTCGGCTTGCATAATCAAAACATGGGGAAAGGCATGAGCATGAAAACGAATTTAAGTAATATTTTCTGCATAACTAAAAATGAGAAGAAATTTAGGGAATGAAGCAACAAGCAAGCGAAAACTGAGGAGACAAACAGGACTAGTTTCTTTTGAGTACATAGCTCCAGCTATTAGTTGCATATGGTGAGGATTTCTGCAAAACAAAGAAATCAGAAACACACTGCCATTTCGTCGATTCTTATTTATTTTGTAAGGAAATCTCAGTAATGAATGAGTCAGTTGAGATGTCATGGCAGGTATTGATTAGGTGTCCAATCATCGCGCTTCTGATTTAACCAGTGCCTTCTCTTTGCCACCACTCCTGGTAATGTTCTCTAAAACGTTTTGAGGGGACGACATATGTTGGAACGTCCTATGTACCCAGCTCTATGGGAGCAGGTGAAGTGATGAATCCACAAGCAGTGGGTGACTAGAGAATATCACTCTTAGTGTTGCTAAAGGAAAGGTATTCTTTAGGGAATTAGAGGAACTTCTCTTTAGGTTAACTGTTGCTAAGTTTACCCTGAAGTCAAAATCGACATACAGTGATTTCCTTGGTGATGAGGTGCATTGTCCTCTATTTGGCTTTATTTTGATGTTCTTCTGTTATAATTATTTAACACAGTAGTATTTCGCAGTGATCGAATTAAAGGAAATCAACCAACAACACAGAGAGGAGCGAATTTGGGAATTTGTATTTTGGCGGAATTATTTGCAATTCATATAGTAAATATTAAAAAACAACAGCAAGTATTTAAACAATACAGTGATAGAAACTGTCAATCACCACATCATCTTCATGAAACGTGCCAAGTATCTACATTGAGACGGCTTATTTCTGAGTATTGAATGCTCTTATAGTAAGCAGTGTACGCTACAAATCCATTTGATATGGTAAGCCACTGAAATGACAATGACTACTTCTCTAGTCGCAGCTACATAGCTTTAGAGATTTCTAAGTCTTTCATTCAATGATAGTTCCGTGTGAAAAGATCATTTCAGGCTGGACTTATCCGGCATGTTGGTTGAAATTTCGCTCAACAAATTTTTTTTGTCAATAATTTTCAATAAAATTTTGTTATATGTTTTCTGGATTGATAGGAATTCTCATTTCCTGGCTAGTTATGTTGGTGTTCGCGTCATTTAATCTGACTGCGACACACTTAGCATATTGGTTGTAATGATTAGTGTTTCATGCTGAATGCGTCAAAACATCTCTACAATGAAGAAGATGGGGTAGTTGGGAGGTAATGTCATCTACACAAATAGTTTATTTCTTGTAGAAGCTGCAGCTTTCGACATAGTGTCATTCAATGAAGACTACGTCAAAATGTGGCTATTTTCGTGTGAAGAACAGTACTATTTTACAAAAGAATGCTATCAGTACATGGGAATCACCTATAAATGCCAACAGAACGTAAAACCAATGTGTAAACGAACGGCTACGGAACTGCAATCCAACATAACCGACTAACATGGACGAAAATGACCTTTGAGCGTCTCACTCCATCAATGACCTTGAGCATGCGGGATAATTTCAGCCTCTTTTCACAGCCACAACATCTCTTCTGGGCAATCCTACATCCAGAAATTGCTTCATGTATTCCTTTTCCTATTCACTTGTGAATTTATTCAACTGATGGTTTAGAGGTTGACGGTATTGACGTTCGCCAATTGTACGGAGTACACTGACGCAAGATCTTATACCAACAACTTCTATAGTATTCATTTCTCGTGTACCGAAGATAAAGCCAAAGACCAGATTTAGTCGTCCAAAGTACGTGATATATTTCGGGACCAAATAGTAAACCGTTTCGAGTGCTTATCTAGCAAGTGTTCGTGCACGCACGTGATACGACGGAGTACCAAATGGCAAGGATGCTTGACCGGAAGCCTTCAGATAAACAAGTCGACTTAAACAGTGAGGGTCAGCATCCAATGTTGAGTGATGATTGCTGTGGTCAATAATTTTGGGGAGTTATTTACCGCTACAGCTCACTCCCCCCTAGTGGGGTTGTGAGGACCCTAAGACAGAACCAGCCAGTAGTAAAAAATCTCGATGGTTTCCTTATGGGTGAAAAATCTCTTCCGAGTGGCTTGGTGGAGTGCCTACCGGTCTGTCTGCCTATGCTAACAGGGTGTCTGTACATCAATTCCTTGATGTTTGTCTGTTTGATCTCGTGCTTCGTTTGTTTCTTGTCCAGTGCCCGTCGCACCTGGAAAAGAAACAAGAATGCTAAGAACCTTGTCGAGGAAAATGCACCAAATCAGCGTTTTTAAAGAAATCATGTGCATCTACGATACAGTAAAATAATGTAAAGTTTAAAACATCGAAAAAATATACATTTAATTTTTTTAAGTGCTTGTATGATGTATGGTTATCGGAAAAATATCTTTCACTTGTGTTTAGTGATGCTACATAAAAAAGTTGATGTGTCTGAAAAGACGAAATAATAATACCACAAACGAATGAGTTGGGTGAAACGCACCACTCAGTTATGTGAAATAGGTGTGAAGGTATTCCGGGAATCTTACGTGACGTCCAGAACGCGCTCTCTTAGAGGGCTCGACCGAAGGTTCGGTGGCTTTCGCCGTGCTAGGGAGTTCTTCGAGGACTAAAGGATGTTCAATTACTTGTGGATTAGCGGCTACGTTTAGCTCTAGGCCAATAGGATTACCTTCCAAGTAAGCCGGTTTCAGACGGTCAATGCTGACGGTGTCTTCGCGGCCTTTTTGTCTAAGACAAAGAATTTATCCGTACGTTTAATTACTTTATATGGTCCGTCATACGGAGGTTGTAGAGGGCGACGCACAGAGTCACGACGAACAAGTACGTGTGAAGAAGCTTTTAAATAGGGGTGAACGAAGACATCAATGGACTGTGGTCGAAGGGGAGCAGGTTTATCTGAACGCATTGATCTTGTAAGCCTGCTGACGTATGAGGAGTGCTCTACCGCTAGTGGGAAGCTTGAGTGAAAAACAAACTCACCTGGCAGCCGTAGTGTCATGCCATATACTAGCTCAGTGGTAGTACAACCAGTATCGGTTTTTAAGGTGTTTCGTATCCCTAGGAGAACTAACGGAAGGGATTCAGTCCAATGAGTGTTATTTGCAGCTGATAAACCGGCTTTCAACTACCTGTGTAGACATTCTACCATACCATTAGCTCGAGG